CCCGCTTCATTTCTGGCCATTTCCCTGACCTTCACGCCTCGCGGCGGTTGCCCTATATGGTAACGGCAACTGCCTTCGCGCTGCGTTTGCTAAGCAATATCGCAAGCGCGCAGAGCGCGCGCGCCGGCTTCGTGGGCCGGCGCGCGCGCGCACGCATTTGGTTACCAGACTATCAGCAAACAAAGTTCTTGTACTCTTGCTGCAGCATCTGGCCTGACTCGCCGCTCCCTCCCCCGCAAGTAGAGGACAATGCTGCGCTTAATGGTCGCACCATGCCAGCCACTTTGGGTCGTCTTCCACTCCCTCCACCGCTTCCTCCAACAAAACTACACGCACTCTGCGGCCGGACGCGAGTTGGCGTAGGTCCAGCGCGCGGTTGGCTGTTATTCGCTTTCGCTTCTTTACTGCCGGCGCCAAATGTAGTAGGAATGAAACCTCCTCCAGGGTGGAAGTCGTGCACGAGAAAATGATCACTGGCATCACTAGCTGCAGGTTGTGTGCCCGATTTTTGATGATGTCCGACACCACTCTCGAAGGGGTAAAGCTGGCGTTGCCTCAGTCCTCCTCTTGTCGCTCCTGCTCCTGCACCATCAGTACCACAAGCTCCCGCTTGCGGCTGCCACACCCCGCCGCGTCTGTACAAAACAGGCGGGTGCTTGAGTCGCTCTTCGCGTAGCTGCTGCCGCTGCGTGTGAAGTGCTTGCACGTTCATGTTCTGTCGCCAGGGCTTTTGCTTCAACGCCGCAGCGGACATGTCCAGAGTTTTGCTGCTGCCTGAAGAGAAGATTGGGTAAAGGGCCGCGCCCGGAGCAGTGGCTTTCTTCGCACTTTCAAATTCGTTCAAAACGAAGTAGTTCAAATACGCGGTGGAGACTGACGGTGGCGACTGTGGCTGATGCTGCGCGCCGGCTGATGCAGCTTTCGTTCCTGCTGCGCCCGAATAGACGCCCTGCATGCGGCGCTTCTGCCGCGAGGAACTCTGCGGCCGCGCGAAACCGCAGCCGGGTGGTGCTCCAAAACCGCCGTGGGTAGTGTGCATGGTTTTGATGCACTTGTTGTCTGATGTGCTTGGTGTCGAAAACGAAACAAAGTGCCAAAGATCTACTTGAATTTTTCGCCAGGTACGACACTTAAGTGAAAAAGCGAAACGAAAAAAAGCGATAGGAAAAAAAGTCACTACTTCCTGTAGTTCCACACTACAGCTTGCGCTCCAGCAACCTGTCGTGAGTCATCTTCACTTCGGTGGAGTGCACACTCTTACCCCCGCACTTACTTTTTCGGTTGCCGCAACTCCCCTCATTCGACAACTGGTTGTAACATCTCGTCGACAAAATGTTACGCTCAAAATAAATGGCACAAACCTGCCTGATTTGACTCCTCAAATGCATGCACCTCTGTATCCACCTCTCCGACAGTATCAAGAGTGACTGAGACTGTTCGGGAAAATGATGCAGAAAACAAAACGAGCAATATCCAAGAAAAAAATGCCGTGATGCATCAGACCAATGGTAACTTCTGCACCTACACGTACACCTTCTCCATCTGTGCAAAGAAGGGAACTCAACTTTACGAACCGATAGAACAGAGTCGATTTTCATTTTAGCATCAACTACCAGTGAGTTGTTCATCCGGAAAGTACGTTCTCACCGGTCTGTTGTTTATATATTTTTGCGTGTTTTGAAAAGCGAAGAAATTCTGCGAAGATGTCGTACATTTGCGTCCTGTTGACCCGCTCGCAGGGGCGTGTTTTTATCACGTGTCACTGTTCATTTTTACCTTTACGCGCAGCTGTTGATGAATGAGATTTATAGTGCGCGACCAGCTCCTTATTCTTTTTCTGCGCTAGTATAAAGACAGAAGCAATGGGCGTAGCACCTCCCTAGTATCTTCCCCATACGAGCGGACCTCCCTAGCAAGAATTTCCCATCGACACTTTGAGACCGGTCGAATCTCCAGAGAGTAAGTGTAAATTGACATGGTAAAAAGGTTTCGAAGCATAGTATATGCATTGTCTTCGTCGAGGAGACGTCGCTGATTATGGCTCCTCTGCTATATTCGTGTGTAAGATTGACTTCAGAATTATGCTACGTAGTTTGGTGTACAGAAACTGAGAGGACAAGCATGTGCCTGCGCAGTGCTTGATACAGTTGTTGTTTCATTTGCTTGATATTTGACGGAGATGTTGATGTAGCTGTCGTGGTTCTTCATTTGGTGAAACTGGTGGTGGCGGTCTTGCATCTTTTTGTTTTCACCTCTGGTTTTCCTCTCCTTGGACTTGGCAGTCGTTGCTTCATCTATTTTCGTAGCGTGCGCTGAAGTTCCTATCATTCCAAACTTCATCACTCTGGAGGGGGGGGCGTTCGGCCTTGACCTTGCACAGAAAAAATCTTCTTGGAAAATAAACATCTGCGCAGTTGCTTAAGTGTTGAGCAGGAGGTTCAGTTCTTCGCCTTAATTCGCTGTTGTTGCAAGATAATTCTTTTCACCACATCGGAGTGGGGCACATATATTCCCGAGACCCCTTCTGTTTCTCCGTTTACCAAGTCTTCATCTGCTCTACATTTCCTGGTTGCCCGCACTCTGGGCCGCGAGCAGGTGCTGGATCTTTTCAGCCAGCACGATCTGGGCTTTGCACAAACTGGATAGGTAGCGGCACATCAGTACGTCCTGGGTAGCGCCGTTGATCAACGCGTCGAGTTTGTCCTCGTCGCCGATAATGTCACCTTCCAGGGCACGGGAGAGGGCACGGCCGACCTGGGATAAACGTTTTTTGCATGATACAAATTTGCTCAGCCGGAATTCACGATCATGCTGCTCTAGCGCAGGAAGAACCTAATTTGTCATGCATAACACTATAAGTACAGCAATACAATCAACACATCTATATTAAATCATACCTCCGGATTTGGCGTCTTCTTCTCTGTCAAAACGTCGGCGATGTATTCCCGTGCCAGGCCAAACAACTGCTTCAAGTCTTGCAGTTGTCGCAGGAAGTTATCCAATGCAGTTGAGCCCTGAGTAGAGAGTTTTTGTGAAGATTTTGATCGATAATGAGGGAATATTATAGCCATAAGAACTTCCACGGCAAAAAACCAGCACCGATCTCGGTTCTTCGTGTTCTTTGCCCGCTATTAAACAGGTTATTTGACTCGAGCCACAGTCTGATCCTTCTTTTGAGGTCTGCGTATAGAAATTAAGTAGCATGTTCTGCATGCGCCGTAAAATAATATAGTACGAGCGCCTCTTCCGTTTCCAGCATGTTGTTCTTGCTGTTTACGTTTGACAGCATTTGGACAATGTTCATTTCCGCGCCCGGAACGTTGGCGACGATGGGCAGCTCGTAAAACTGGATCAGGTTCTGATCCGTCCCCGCGACGAAATCCGAAGTAAAAATCTTGATCTCCATAGGCACGGCGCAGTCTCGGATCGTGGTGTCGACCTGGTTGCGTTCAATATTCGATACTGTTGAACTTGAAGGTAAATAAAGCTGTACGTAGCATCAAATTCAAATAAAGCAAGGATGGATAGATGTTGCGCGTGTGGTGCCCGAAGATGAAGGAATGCATCACAAGAAAAAGCGCACCAGCTGTGTGACACCACGACACGAACTAGTGAATACAACATTTTTACCTGCAGGTAAACCGGGTCCCTCAAGTTTTGTGCGGGATTCGGCGTAAATTTTGACTCCTTTGTTCGGTAGAACTGGTGGATGGCCAGCGTGTTTTCGTCAATCGCGTGGTCCTCCCCGACGGAAAACCAGCCGACTACTTGCTCCTTGTTGTTAACGTGCTGTCGCAGCTTCACAAATCGCCCGTGGTAGTTCTGGTCCATAAGCACACCTGTTTTGATGGGGATGGTGTTGTGAGATTCTATCTCCATATTCTGATGCGGCTTTTTTTTTTTGATTTTGATATTTTTCTCAGGCCTAAAAAATGAGAGCCGATTTGCTCGTCGTGGTGATCCGATCGATGTATTGCAGCTCATGCGCAATGTGCAGGACCAACACCCGTGTTTATCTTCGAACATACTTTTTGGGTAGAAATCCAGCAGCAACGAAAGTGTTTCATGTACCTCGCTCCGCCTGCTGCAAATCTGAATGCACCACTTGGAAAGCGTCCACAATTTCGAGAATGTTCCCCTCCGATACCATGCCCATAAGAGTTCCTGTTGATGGTGATTTAGATTTTGGATTCCAATTCCTTTTAAGTAAATCGATGCGCAGCTTGACGGTAAGTAAGGTAGAAATAAAGAGATCTGGTGATGTCATACTCAACATACCAACCATGCAAACTGCCTCATTTTGATTTTCTTTCGGTAATTTTCACATGCCGATGAAAAAAGTATCGTCTTCTCTGTAGTAAGTACCGATTGCTCGGTGTTCCTTCTTTGGGATGCGTGCGTAGGCATCCAGAATCGTCATTAACGCGAGGGGTTGTATTCTGACAGACAGGGCCTGTTTCTGGATCACAAAGCAGTTCTTGCTCTGAACCCCCGTGCCGGTGGCCTTTCCGCCGCCGACGGTCATCGCGGTGGTAGTCATGGTGTTGACGGTTTTTCTTTGATGTAGAAAAAAAAACGAAAAGTAGTAAATTCGATCTGTTGGAAATAAAGAATTATATCGTAAAAGTGTCGCGTTTGCACGTGCAGTTTGAAGTTAGTGCATTTCGATTTTTGCAGAGAGAAGGATTTTCACAGAAAAATCGCTAGTTGTGCTTAACTTCTCCGTAGTAAACAGGTCCGAAGTGAAGATCAGTGAAACTACAACTTCTGAATCGGCCGGAAGCTAAATCAAGATCAGCTAGCTGTTCCTACCGAGGACTTCGACTTACTTTGGCCTGAAGCAATTATAGAAAGACAAAGAGTGAGTACTTCGACTACCGGAATTTAAGCACGGGGTCACAATGATCTTCTTTTTGGCCTTGATGCTCCTAGCCAGCGGCGCTTGCGTTTGTCCCTGTTTTTGTGCCTGTTTGCGCGCCTGCTTTTCTGCCTTTTTTTTTACCTGTTTTCGTGCCTCTTTTTACGGCTGCGCCTGCTTTAGTGCCCGGGCCGCCACACTCATAGAAGATGGCACTGAGGCACATGCATAGCACAACGCCGGGCCTTCTAAAGAACACGCTCACACACGCAGCGCGCGCCTGCCTCAAAATGGCGCGCGGAAGGGCATCGCAAAAGATACAAAAGAAGAACATCCGAGCGCGCTGAGTGTGACCCAGAATAGGTGCCCGGCAGTCCACCTCTTCGGGCATGCCTCTACTCATCCGGCACGGGGCCTCCCAGGGATGAATTATAGCCAGCGGCGCCTTGGATTGCATGCCGGGGCCAACTGCTGGCCCTGGGTCAGCTTCTGCAACAGCTGCTCTGCCTCTGTCCTTGTGCTTGCACTAATCCTTCCATTGGAAGCGAAAGGCCACACTCGCACAGCCGAGGACCACCCAACCACCTACCTCCCTCGCTTTGATGCTAGAGGTCCTGCTGGGCCAATTTATTACCAAAAGCCGAGACGCCTGCTGAGAGGCGAGCACTCCATGGCGAGTAAAGTTCTACAACGGTATTTGTCCTTCAGAGGCATGATGCTCTTTCCCGATCAATTCCGCCGGGGCTGGCATCCCGGACGCTGAGTTCAGCGGGCTTCTTTCGCGAAGCGACTTCTGCTTCCTCTCACATGGACGAACAAGGGTGGGTTACATGTGCTTTTTTTCAAAAAGTCCTAACCCCCGCTAGTGGGTGCCCACTAGCGGGGGTTAGGTCCAGACGAATGTAACCCACCCTTGTTCATTTGTTCTAGGCTGTTCCTACCGAGGACTTCGACTTACTTTGGCCTGAAGCAATTATAGAAAGACAAAGAATTAGTACAGCTAGACGCACATGCATGCAGGGTGCTCTTCCTACGTTGTCGGCCCTCTAAACGGCTTTGATGGGAAATCAATTCATCAAACAAAAAAAAAGATAGACGCGGTCGTCTTTGGGGAGCATACCATGACGCGATAATTATATTTTCAGGATCCGTAACGCATGTTTCTTCTGTAAAGGTTTGTGCTGACCAATGGAGCAACAACCAACAAGCTAGCGGGAACCAAAAAAAGTGATGAATACAAAGCAATCATGGAAATTTGTGAAGATCTTGTCACCGGCAAAACTGCTTGTCTAGAGAGCTTTTACATTTTCCTACCGCTCCTGCAATGGATCATCCTGTATTATTTTTGGATCTAATGTCATCAGAGAGCTGCTCCTGCCCATACCATGAGCAGCACGCCAAGCATACAAGAACATTAGAAGAGTTGCTATCGTTTATCCCGGAAAGACATTGTAATTTGCAATTGATGAACCTCCAGGATCTTCGCGGATTGATGCTACATGCCTTCTTAGCTTTGGATCATCGCGTTTTGGTTTTTTTTGTACACTTGGGCTTCGGCTTGGGCATGCTCGAGATCAGGATTCTATTCAACATGCTACCATTTTTTTCCTATGTATCAAACAACTTTCTTCAAGATTATTAACACTATCATGATCCTAGCCTCGACAAGAGTGCAGTTTGCAAGTCGTTTTGTATACTGGAGTTTTTCCCGCTCCAATCAAAAGGTTCGCGGAAGTAGGCCCCAGGGGCCCGCCGGGGGACCACAAGAAACGCTTCATCTTGGAGTTGTGGTGTATCCGCATCAGAAGTTTTTGTGTATGCTCCATGCCCTCTTCTCTCCTGCTGCTGCTGAAAGTCATTTCGCCGACCCGCCACTTTTGCCGCCAGCTTCCTTTTGGCAAGTTCGAACTGCCTCTCCAGAAAGTCCACCACCTGCTGGCAAACTCCGTCCGCGTCGTTATGCATTGCAAATATCCCTGGATGTCTGGAAGAGTGCAACTTGTGATGCTGCATCTGGATGCTCAAAAAATCTGCATTGCATAAGCAGCAAGGGGAGTCAAATTTGGCTACGTCGCGGAGAGGGCATTTGTCTTGCGGGATGCGCATCGATTTCGATAAGCGCTCAAAAAAATGTGTGAGGCTACGGCATACATCACAGACATCACGAATCATCATCATGGAGAATGTGCATCGACAAACTTGTCCTCTTCCAGACCCAGACATATTTGCATTTGATAGTCGTGCATCTGTTGCAACTTCACGGAGCTGGGGAACTCCCGAGCATACCGACACGCCGCGTTCCAATGTTTCAGGGCCTTTTCCTTCTGCTTTTGTAGGAAGAGTTGATAATCTTGATTTTCCCGCGGGTCTAACAGCATCTTCCTGTGGTTTCTACTACTGTTCGTGTTCCTCGTTGTATGGCAAGAAAAAATTGTTTCACTGTGAACTTGTGATGCAGAAAATGGAACACAGACCTATTTGTCTTTCTACACTTGCAAGACATTGCATTTTCAAGCGTGTTTTCCCTTGGGAAGCGCGCATGGCAAATTTTCTGTGTCATGAGTAAGGAACTTGTGATGCAGATTTTGCAAAATCACCACAGTGAAGCAGTTTTTTCGTGGGATATGTTGGAGATGATGCTGACGCGTCGTCTTGTTGCTGTTGAAAAGAGTTGGACGACGCTGCTCCGAATCTTTGAAAGGCATTGTTCATCACAGGTGCATTCGTACTACTAGTACTACTACCACTCGCCCCGCTGCTCAAGAAAAGCGCAGTCCCCGGACCACCAGCACCACCATGAGCGACATTATCCTGGTTGTAATTTGTGTCAAAATGGAAGGATTCAGCAACAATCTTTCCCTCGAACAGTGCCGGGTTGCCCTGGTTCACGATGAAAGTGGTTTTGAAGCGGGACCGCCAATTGACGGAAAAGTTTAAATTCTGCGAGTGCAGCGTGGACACGATGGTCAGGGTGATTTGGGCTTTCTCCATTTCGTCCGCGAAACACAGGAAAATGGTCTTGTTGTGGTATTTTTGTGCTGAGCTGGAGGATGAAGTGTTTTTTGTCACCATAGTACCGACGTTGTTCTTGTCGCCCGAACATAAATGCTGATCGTGAAGTTGTTCTCCAACATGCGATAAGCCGTCGTGGCTACTCCTGTAGTTAAATCGTTCGTCCAACTTCTTTTGCATCAGCTGCTGGAATTTCCTTGCCGCGCTCGCTGTTCGCAGGGGCGGCGAAATGTCTCCCGCGTCCTCCAAGACAGGGCGAATCAGTTCCTCTTGAAGCTCTATCAAGTGTAAAAATGTCTGGGTCTGGAAGATTCATGCTGTTTTTGCATGACACGCAAGGTCTGGCATTGAAGCTCTAGCATCACAGGTTTCGAGAAGCTTCCGCAATGCCGAATCCGCATGACAAATCCCCCACTTTGGTGACAGAAAGTGGGCAGCTTTTGCTACCTATGCATGAGAGATTTTTCTGTGTTCTGAAATGCGCATCACAAGTTGCATTCTTCCAGTCCCAGACATTTTTGCATTCCATAAGCTCCAAGTCCGTCGTCGTCCGGGGAGGCGTGAGGAAAAGCTCCTTATTGTGAGGAAAAATCCCCCCTCCCCATATCGAAAGCGGAATTTGTGTTGCTGTATTTGAGTACACAAATCACATCTGTCTAGCTAGAGAGGACTGCAGACCCATATCAAGCCTGGGCAGAGATGCTTTGACTTAGGCGCTTAGCATGAGAAGCGTCCGTGATGTTGGCTCAACAACATGACAAACCGCCTCCATAATGGGACGGAAGCTGCTGCCCTTGTCTTCTTGCAGCACAAACGTGGTCTGTGACCTCAAATCAGCAACACAAATTTTCGAAAGCCTACCTCTTCAATATGGGGAGGGGGGATTTTTTCTTGCGATACTCCTGTGTGGTCCTCGTTGCCGCGCCACCTTGTTCTTGCGCCGGCACATTACTGCTCAGCTCGGTGTTAATGTTATTGTCCTTTTATCCTGAGTAAAAACGTACCCACACCAGAGTCAGGATGAGGATTTTGCAACACAAACCTAGGAGCTCTGTGAGTCACGCATGACAAGTTGCACTATGCAGCGTAGTGCAGGTTAGCAAGTGTAGCCGCATCACAGATTCATCTGCTCATCCTGTTCACAGCATCACAAATTCCAAAACACGATTGGAAATGGCTCTCATGCGGATGCGCATTACAAGTCTTCCTGTCTTTGCAAATCTGCATTACAACTCTGGTGTGGGTACGTTTTTACTCAGGATACCTTTCGGTGGAAATTTATGTCGAATGTGGTGACCAACTTCGGGAACCACTGGACCACCTGGAAATATTTCCCAACCACGGGGTTCCAGTACAGTTGTCGCCGCTCATTCCAGGCCTCTTTGCACACGACGTTGATGCAACGCTGCAAGTTGTTTTTCACATTCTTAGAAGCAGCTCCGCTCTGCTCGTCCCTCTCGCTATAGCTGGTGACAGTGTGGTCGCAAAAGTGGTAGTGCTCCGCATGGCGTTTAAACAACTGGGTGCGGTAGTTCTTGCTGGTGTCCTCAAGAACGCCAGCAGTGGTTCTGGGGTCCCCTTGGTCCTCTTGGCCTCCAGCAGCGGCAGCGGCATTATTATTTCCACCGGTATTCAATGTTCCTCGTGCTGGGCTAGTACTCACAGTGCTTTTCTCCGATAGAACTTTCTGCAGCAGCTTGTTCTGCATTTTCGCCAACAATTGCTCCAAGTACCCGGGGGCGCATATGGCGTTCTCAAATGTTACATTCTCAACTGTTACATAAATTACTATCTAAACTGCAGCAGCTGGTCAAAAATGCATGCGAGGGGTATGTTCGGGGGTATGTTCGGGGGTGTGTCAGGGGTATGCAAATGGAATTCAATCCCGACCTGAATACAAATTTTTGGCGAAAAAGCAGAAGGCGGGGTATAAACATACCCCGGACACACCCCAGACACACCCCAGACATACCCCAGACAGACCCCCGAACACACCCCAGGCAAAAAGTCCGAACATACCCCAGACACACCCCAGGCACACCCCGGGCAGACTTTCGGACACACCCCGGGCAGACTTTCGGACACACCCCGGACAGACTTTCGGACACACCCCGGCCAAGCTTTCGGACTTTGTCATGTGGGGTTTGGACCCGAAGCCCAGTCTGTCACGCGAGACCGTGCGGCCAAGGGGCGATCGAAAGCCCCTGGGTCATGGCGCGGAGACTATGTCCCCGCGCCATGACCCAGGGGCCAGCCCCAGCTGCGAGCGCTTCGTTCCCGGACACCGTGCGGCCAAGGCCAAGGGGCACAGAAACAGGTGCGCGCGCCCGGGTTTGGGAGAACAGGGGCAAGGAAGGACGCGTCCTCCCTTTGTCGTGACTAGTCCTTTGGGGGGGGCGCCCCGCCCAGGGGCGCAGAAACAGGTCCGCGCGCCCTGGTTCGGCGGAACAGGCGCAAGGAAGGCCACGCCCTCGGTTGGTCTTGGGTAGTCCTTTGGGGGGGCGCCCCGCCCAGGGGCGCAGAAACAGGTCCGCGCGCCCTGGTTCGGGAGAACAGCCCCCAGGAAGGCCGCGTCCTCCCTTGGTCGTGGGTAGTCCTTTGAGGGGGGGGCGCCCCGCCAAGGGGCGCAGAAACAGGTCCGCGCGCCCGGGTTTGGGAGAACAGGGGCAAGGAAGGGCGCGTCCTCCCTTGGTCGTGACTAGTCCTTTGGGGGGGGCGCCCCGCCCAGGGGCGCAGAAACAGGTCCGCGCGCCCTGGTTCGGGCGAACAGCCTCCAGGAAGTCCGCGCCCTCGGTTGGTCGTGGGTAGTCCTTTGGGGGGGGCGCCCTGCCCAGGGGCGCAGGCAGAAACAGGTCGGTCCGCGCGCCCTGGTTCGGGAGGACAGCCTCCAGGAAGTCCGCGCCCTCGGTTGGTCGGCAATAGTCCTATGGGGGGGGCGCCCCGCCCAGGGGCGCAGGAACAGGTCCGCGCGCCTTGGTTCGGGAGAACAGCCCCCAGGAAGGCCGCGCCCTCGGTTGGCCGTGGGGAGTCCTTTGGGGGGGGGGGCGCCCCGCCGAGGGGGGCAGAAAAGGGCGCACTTTTCCAGGGGGGGCGCCGGCTCCACGGGCGGCAGGGCCATCCCGTTCTGTCGCAAAAAAAATAAAAATCCTGCCGCATCACGGGCAAGAAAAGCCACCGCGGGTGGCTCTTCTTCGCTGCAAGGTCGCAGCGCGGGGACTCTGTCCCCGCGCCATGACCTTGTTTGTCATGCAAAATTGGCATCAGCCTCCACTTGGTCAAGGTGCTTAGCATGACACATTTTCAAAGGGCTAAACAGCAGGATAATCTGTGGGAAATCTGTGATGCGAAAGCTGCAATCTTGCCACTTTCACTGTTGCCATTCTTGCATCACAAACTCATTTAACAGTTGAGAATGTAACGTTTGAGAACGCCATAGCGCACTTGGTCGCCCAGCGCTCCAGCGCTGCATGCTCGGAGAAGGCAGGAGGTGGAAAAACGTCGTCTGACAAAAAAGCACGGCGCGGTCCTTCTGCGTTTGCCATTCTTCTCGAGGAGATCTTCGAGTTCGTCGAAATGAAATCGAAATACGCTATAAAGAAGACGAGAACTTCTATAAAAACGCTGTCACCATAAAAGAGTAAAGAATCAAACACGATGAACCAACAGAGACATACTACAAAACAGCTTCTGTAAGAATGGCGAAGACTTGTGTAGTTGTAGAAGTTCACTTTTAATTTCAAGCATTGTCATAATGCATTCTTGCAGGCATAGAAGATCTTGCTGTCACAAAAAGAGAAAACACAGGCCAGAAACGAATAAGCAAGAAAAGCAGAAGGTCAACAGCTGGATGAACACGCCTGGATTTTACCTGGAAACTACGAAGAAGAAGTCATAATTCCTGATCGTACAGATTTCCGAACAGTCCGAATCCATGAGCATTTCAATTTCTACTATGATGAAGATTGCTGCTTCTGTCTGCTATACTGCTTGATTATACACGGAATTATGTCGCCCCAGCTTCTTGATGTTGTTTTGAACTTTTCGTACACCACTGCGGGCGTTTGCAGAGTTTTCAGGCGATAAAGTTGTTTATGTTCTTGCTGGAGCTCGTACGACGGAACTGTCAACACTTTGACAAATTACCCCAAATTCAACTTTCCATGGATAGCTGAGGTGACGCCAATCTCTATAATTTTTCGGGTAGAAAAATTAAATTCAAGATATTTTTGACGGGGGTAATCTACTTTGTGCTGCTGGTGAGAATGATGAAAACAAAAGGCACAAAGTGGTCGAGGAAGCTCAAAGGTCGACAAAAAAAAAGGACTTGTCCATTTTTTCACGAAACAAATATTGGGGGGTGGCAATGGGTACATATGAATCAATAAATGGTACACATGATATGTCGTTTTACTAGTGCTGGACGATGAAGTGCTAGGGTAATCATACATAATGTCTCGCTCCAAAATCCAACAAATAAATATGTCTGAACTTCGTCGAGAACCAAAAACATGTCTTCCACTGAAAAATGGAACTAGCCGTACTTTCCGCCTTAGGCCGAGCTCTATAAGTAGGTCGTCCAGACCACCTTGTTTTCATTTAACAAAAGAGGAGGAGGAGGATCCTTCACACCTGTTTTTAGCTATACATATTGCTACTCAAGTGGAACATGATGTCGCAGACCACCCGGAGGAAACGAGCAGGGAGGCACCGCTCTCAGGGGAAACACCTACTCGGCCAGCATTTGCTCCTGTTCCTTGTACCAGACGCGCCATGTTGCAACTACCACTCTTCGAGTTGCGGGCACTGAGGTACACTGTTGCAGCTTCTTCTCTTCGAGCCGCGGCCGGGTGCGCTCCGTCTGCTCACAAGCTTACCCTCTGTGGTGCGGCTGTCTACTCTGGGACGGTCCGGGGCTTGGGCGAGTTTAGGGTCATATCGGGCACCATATGTGTTAGGTGCTTGTCCCTTAACTCTGTAGACACTGCGCTGCCTCCGCCCTGGAGCAGCTTGAGGCAGAGCTCACCTCCCGATTTTGTCACGATCAGGCGCTTCAAGGTGGTAGCATATTTGTCATGCTGCCACCTTCTCTCGGGTGGTTCTGGCCGGACCTTCGTCTCGTTCTACAAAGTCCACGTCTACGAATGCAAGACGCGAACTTTAGCTGCGCCCTAAAAATCTGAGATTCTTCCACTAGGCGGCTGCGCTGGATCGTGGGGAATTCTAATATGTATGGATCCGCACCTTGAATCGAGAAAAGATAGAGATACATCTGGAATCTCTATCAGAGAAAATCAATATCAGGATCTATCGACATCTCAGCAGCTCCTGGTCCAGATGTATATCTTTTCTTCATTCTCCAGGCTCCGCGCCCTCGTTTTCCGCTTTCTCGTCGTGGTCTAGTTTGCTTGTGCTTAGACTAGGCGTGACCTGCTAGCTTTCGTTCTTGCACCTTGTACGCTCGTGGCAGTGGAAGAGAAGATGTGAACCCGTCCAAAGAAGATGTTGAGAGCCAGAGCCTGCCACAAGAAGATGAAACTCTGCCGGCGCTGTGGAGAGGGAAATCGCCGACAGGGACCATATTTCTGGATGGAATGCGCACACAGACGCACGGGGCGCTGAGGCTCTACCTACTTTCTACTGTAAATGGGCACAGCTGACCCGCCACGTACGGGTGTCTAACTATTTTGCTTCGAAACTCCATCGCAAGGAGTCGGGGGAGATACCGACGTGGCGTCAGTGGTGGTAAATGTGTGTGTGCGATGGGTCTAACAACTACTCTACGGCATAGCTCCCCCTGTTCTAGATTTTTCGGATCTCAGGCAACAAGGAAAAGCCTTGAGCCAAAATGGCTACGGGCTTGAGCCAAAATGGCTACGGGCTTGTTTTCATTTAACAAAACATGTACTTCTTGGGTGCAAAACAAAAAAACCCCCCGCTAGCCAAGGACTAAATGTAAATACGTATACTAAATTGCACACAATAAGCCTTGATGTGACCCAGTGCGGCAATATCAGTAAGCATTGCCCCATGACGCAGTCGTGGGGAGTGGTTCTAAAGTATGACCTCACTACATACAAAAGGAATTTTTACATAGTATGAATATCGCCTACTACTTGTCGTTTGTTAAATACAGTACGACCTCCGTAGTTTTCTCTTTAGAACTCAAACATTTCCCCAGGCCTGATCCGTGACCATCGCGTTGAAGCTGCCCACGCAATCCGCGAAGTGGGGCGACACGTTGGTGCCAACGTCCCGCAAATTGTCCATCATTGCGCGGAGCCCCAATTCCGTCTCCCCGGTTCCACTTACCGTTCCGTGGGCCTGGAAGATTTGCTGCAGCTGCGCTCGCAGGAGCATCCACTCAGTGACGCCGACGAGGCAGATGGTAGAGCGAATGCGGGTCACATCGTTAGGAATCAGGTTGTCGCCGGTGTTGCACGGAGTTCCGTCTCCGAGGACGCAGCCGCCCGGAATCTGGAGGTCCAACTCCGTCGCGACGATGGACCGTGGAGTGTTGCTATCCAAGAAAAAAAAAGCATTCAGTTCTGTAAATCATCCTCTATGGATATTAACATGAAATAAAGACAGCCACACTTGTCAGGGTGGACGTGCTGTCACAGCAGCTTTTCTTGTCATGCGAACAGAAACAGAATCTGTCCTGCGGTCAGCGTCAGCCGAAGGATTACATTATAAACTGCGCAGTCTTTTTCTTGGATAGGTATCTGGGCCATCTTCCGGTAAATTATTGGTATCCAATAAGTTCTGCAAATCGGGCTCGTTGCACGCGCATCCTGAATAAAATAACCTCACCCTCCATTTGCATCTTCAAATTTAACTGATGCAATTCGATATGTCTGTCATAATGCGTGATAGGATACCACAGAGCCATAGCGCGTGACAAGTTGAGACTGATGCGGGCGGGGTGATGGTAAAATTTTTATTCAGGATATAGGCCCAGACCACAATCCGTCGTGGGCGTGACTGCACTGGTGGCCGTAGTTAGCTTTGCGAGCTGACGCTTGGTTTGTGTTGGGCGGGGTGGCAGGAGCGGCCTCGCCCGGGCGTTTCGGCATGGGTCGGTCGGCCTTGACGACGCGGTAGCGGTGCCCCGCGCGCAAGCGGCTCTCCGGGGTGTGCCAAGCTCCACCTGGGCCCCTGTTTCCGGAATGGTAGCCGTCGGACTGCAGGGAATGATACTTGACGCACACTTTGTCATCATTGGCATTTGTAAACGAGTCGCGGTCCGCCATTGGAAAAGGAAGCTGCGCGGTTAGCTGGGCGTCAAGCATCAGTTTACGGGGAACCTGCACGGTAAAGAAGTTCCACACCTCGCCCCTACGAACGTGAAAGACAAACTGGACCCCAGCGAGCGGCGCGGCGGGAGAAAAGTACGTCGCAAGAATGGGGGCGCGGAACGCAAACTCGTACCTGGCGCCCTCACCAGAGCCCTGTACCCACGGACGCCGGGGTAGCGACCCATCAGTTTGTGGGAACTCAACCGGCTGGCGCAGATTTGCGCTGCCATAAGTGTCGTCGCCGGAACCTGGTACCCGCTGCCCGACGTCCCGATTACTAAAATAGTCGGTGTCTACCACTTTGACAAGAGCCTCTGGCGCATAGGCGGGGTCAAAATCAAACTCGAAGTGGGCTGCTGCGGCAAGCGCCTTCGGCGCAGGCGGTGCTCCAGGTGGCGCAGGCGGTGCTCCAGGTGGCGCAGGCGGTGCTCCAGGTGGCGCAGGCGGTGCTCCAGGTGGCGCAGGCGGTGCTCCAGGTGGCGCAGGCGGTGCTCCAGGTGGCGCAGGCGGTGCTCCAGGTGGCGCAGGCGGTGCTCCAGGTGGCGCAGGCGGTGCTCCAGGTGGCGCAGGCGGTGCTCCAGGTGGCGCAGGCGGTGCTCCAGGTGGCGCAGGCGGTGCTCCAGGTGGCGCAGGCGGTGCTGCGGGTGGCGCAGGCGGTGCTGCGGGTGGCGCAGGCGGTGCTGCGGGTGGCGCAGGCGGTGCTGCGGGTGGCGCAGGCGGTGCTGCGGGTGGCGCAGGCGGTGCTGCGGGTGGCGCAGGCGGTGCTGCGGGTGGCGCAGGCGGTGCTGCGGGTGGCGCAGGCGGTGCTGCGGGTGGCGCAGGCGGTGCTGCGGGTGGCGCAGGCGGTGCTGCGGGTGGCGCAGGCGGTGCTGCGGGTGGCGCAGGCGGTGCTGCGGGTGGCGCAGGCGGTGCTGCGGGTGGCGCAGGCGGTGCTGCGGGTGGCGCAGGCGGTGCTGCGGGTGGCACAGGCGGTGCTGCGGGTGGCGCAGGCGGCGCTGCGGGTGGCACAGGCGGTGCTGCCGGTGGCGGAGGCGGTCCTCCGGGTGGAGGAGGCGGTCCTCCGGGTGGAGGAGGCGGTCCTCCGGGTGGCGGAGGCGGTCCTCCGGGTGGCGGAGGCGGTCCTCCGGGTGGTGGGGGCGGTCCGGGTGGCGGAGGCGGTCCGTGCGGCGGATGCGGTCCGGGTGCAGGAGGCGGTCCGGGTGCAGGAGACGGTCCGGGTGCAGGAGACGGCGCAGGTTCCGGCGGGAGGTCATCTCCGGGATTCAACTGCTGCGGGATAGGCAAGCTGTGAAACGTCCCGTAGGCATTGGCCAACCGTTGCAACTTTTCGTTCTTGAAATAAGTCGCATGCCCATTCAACACCTCGTCTTCTGTCAAAACCCACACTTCCCGAATGTTCCAAGTCATTCCGTTTGTATCAGTGGCCGGGTAGTGACACAGACCCTTGCTTTCCTCGTCCACAGCGCCCGTCTGATAGTCTTTCGTGTGGCACAGGAGCATCTCCGGAATTTCGTTTGGGTTTTTGAAGTAGGTACTACTCGGATGGTTTTCCGCGTCGTTCCAAACGGTATAAAACTCCCGCAGTTGCTTATTGGGAAACATCTTCGGAAGGCGCTCCACCATTTTTTCTTGGTTGTCACCCGGCTCTACTTCGTCGCGACCATCGTCGCTTCTCTGTTGCTCCGCCTGCGCTTGCTGCAGTTGCAGGAACGAAGCCGAAGATCGAGCCGCCGCTGCATTTTTTCGCTGAGGTAGGTTCGCTGGTAGTTCAGCCAACGGCCAATCGTCCGATAGCAGTACAGTCCTCTCGCCGCCCCGCTCGTCTGCTGCGATTCTGCAGGGCCGGTTCAGCTTTTCCAAGCTGAGGTCCTGACCATTCTCCTCGTACAGGCTCTGCACGGAAACGTTGCAAACCTTACTGGCAGCCAGATTTTCGTAAGTCTGCCCATCGGATAACACAACCGGGTCGTGGAAACGATTGCTCTCTTCCTGGAGAAACGCATTCAACGACCCAAGGTCCTCCCGGTTCTGCATCGCGGGAGGGTCGTGAGCTGGTGCCGGGTTGTGAGTCTCATTGCCGGGCGAGTTTTTGTTGTTGTTCGCCACAACAACCACAACCGCGACAACAGCACCAATAACGAGGACTGCGGCAATCACGATCAGGGTGATGATAAGCGGTTTATTTTTGGAGCAGCAATTTCTATCATTGGCTTCCGTGGAGCTTCTATGTTCGGGGTGAAATTCGTGCTGCCCTGTCAAGGCTCTCTCGTGCTCACCCGCCGCAGCCGCATACCCGTTGCGTCCCTCCTGGTGACGGTACGGTGCGGGCACTGTGCGGTCTCTACGCGTCATAATTGTAGTTGCTCTCTGAAGATTCTGCTGGGTAGAAGTACCAATCACGTAGACACAAATTCAGTGCAAAATCTGTTTGACTCGAAGAAGCCTTGGGTTCTTTATTAGCTCTATTCCAAAACTAGACGTAGACTTACTTAAGTACACACTCAAAACAAAAATATGAAAAATCGGTTTATCGTAGTAGCTTCTTTGAATATTTCTTGACGCTGAGGAACAGGATTGCTTCTCTAATAACAGTTCAATATAGATAATTCTGTCGAAAGAGAAGAATATTGTACAAAACTAGCAGCAACAGCACTTTTCCAAAAGTTTCTGTAAGATCACATTCACACCAGAAAAAAAATATAGTGCGTGAGATTGATTGCAGTGATTGTTTTTTACTCGTTTATTGCAGAGCGGTAGATCTTCATTTCGCAAGTGGAAGGATTGTGATCTCACGATCTTCGCTTTTGTTCTTGATCCATGCGTCGTGCACTTGTTCTTCATGATCATTCTCTATTTACTTCCCTCTCTCTTGATCTTGCAGCGTTTCGATCGACAAATGCTCACACCAGGAGAGGCAATACTTTCAGGCCCGCTTATTTAGCGTTGTCTCTCCTGGTGCCGCGATCATTATTATATCTTGATCCGACCACTCTGTTTCTTGATCTCGACCAGCAATTTTATTTTATCGCGAAAACCCGAGCCCGAGCCTGTCTCGGTTTTGTTCTGTACTTCACCCTGGCCTGTGCTGATTTGGCCGGAGGGTCGTGTTCTTGGAGGAGCAGCCCCGGAGGGTCGTGTTCTACTTGGAGGAGATCTACTCTCCTGTTTAGTGTTGGCATTAAGACTGTTTTCGCATACAAATCGATAAGAGCTTGAACACGCTTGCCTCCAGCGTCGTTCCGGGCAGTGGATCGAAGTGTAACTAATAGGATGTGAGTACAAATTCTTTTCACGATGTTCTTTCCTCTTCGTCAAAACAATAGGGTCCTGCTGAACTGTCTATGCCATGTATACAACACTCCTTCGCATTCACCAAAATCAGACACATCGTACTATCTATAAGTAGGTCATCCAGACCACCTTGTGCTTCTTGGGTACAAAACCCACCTCGTTTAGCAAAGCATGCTGTACTTCTTGGGTACAAAACCACACCCGCTGCGTCCCTCCTGGTGACGGTACGGCGCGGCTACTGTGAGGTCTCTACGTGTCGTAATTGTAATTGCTCTGTGAAATTAGCTTCTGCGGGGTAGTGCCAATCTATCACGTAGACACAAACTCAGTGTAAAATCTGTTCGACTCGAAGCCTTGGATTCTTTCTTAGCTCTATTCCAAAACTAGAGCTTGTTTGTTTGTTTGTTCGTTTGTTAGTGCTGGAGTCGTGGTTTCCGTGTGAAGGTTTTACCTTCCTCTCACGATGCTACTGTTAGTTCAAGAAAAATACTAGGTGGCTACAGCTTTGGCCTCGTAAGCCTGAGAAAAAGATACAGGAGAGCTATTTTTCGTCACTAGAGAGAGGCTTTTCGAAAGTTACTAAAAACTCGAAGTTGTTGAAAAAGTAAAAGTTTCTTCAACGTAGGAGCTGTTGTTTCTGAAAAAGTGAAGTCTATATCTGCGAGAAAGGTTGATTTTGTTTCGTGAAAAGAGGTAAGCTACTAAGTTATTCCTGGTGGAACTTGTGTCGACCAGCTGCAAGTCAAAGCTAGACCTTCTTCTACACACACAAAGCATAAATATGAAATATCGGTTTATCGTAGCAGTTTCTGTAAATATTTTTCGACGCAAAGGAACAGGAGGGCTTCTCTAATAACAGACTCAAGTAGACGTAGAAACATAAAGAAAACCGCGACAACAGCACCGATAACGAGGCCTGCGGCAATCACGATCAGGCTGATGATAAGCGGTCTATTTTTGGACCAGCAATTTCCATTCTTGGCTTCCGTTGAGCTTCTATTTTCGGGTTCAAATTCCTGCTGCCCTGTCAAGGCCCTCTCGCCCTCTTCACCCGCCGCAGCCACACCATACCCGCTGCGTCCCTCCTGGAGACGGTGCGGCGCGGTGACTGTGAGGTCTCTACGCGTCATAATTGTACTTGCTCTGTGAAGTAGATTCTGCGTGGTAGTACCAATCACGTAGACACAAACTCAGTGCAAAATCCATTCGACTCGAAGCCTTGGATTGTTCTTTATTAGCTCTAATATTCCAATAAAACTAGACCTTCTACACACTCAAAACACAAATATGAAAAATCGGTTTATCGTAGCAGCTTCTTGTTTCTCGACGCAGAGGAACAGGATGGCTTCTCTAATACAGACTCACGTAGAAAGTAGATAAAGAAAAAAATCAATAAAACATATTGTACAACAAAACTAACTAGCAGCAACAGCACTTTTCCATCAATTCCTGTAAAAACTAAAATCACATTCACACCGGTAGGAAAAAAAAACAGTGCGTGGAATTGCAGTGATCGTTGTTTTTCACTCGTTTATTCTTGCAAAGCGGTAGGTTTTGATCCCGGAAGCGGACCAATTGTGATCGGTCGTGTTCTTGGAGGACCTTGCGCAGCAAGATCAAGATCTATTCTCCTGTTTAGTGCTGGCATTAAGACTGTTTCCGCATACAAACCGATAAGAACTTGAACACGCTTGCCTCCAGCGTCATTCCGGGCAGGGAAACTGCTAATTTGGATTCAAGTGCAACTAATAGGATGTAGTGAGTACAAATTCTTTTCATGATGTTCTTTCCTCTTCTTCAAAACAATAGGGTCCTGCTGAACTGTCTATGCCATGTATACAACACTCCTTCGCATTCACCAAAATCAGAAACATCGTACTTCGAGATTGTTTTCTCGTAGACCACCACCACGAAATCCCTACTGCAGGGATGTTTGTTGTCCAAAGCTGAGAGCTTGCTCAAAACGTCTCACCGCAGGGTGCGACTTTGTAGCGAAGCATCACAATAATCATCGGCTGACTTAGTCTCCCCGGCCGATAGCGTTACTTCTTGTCCAACACTTAGAAAAGATTTAAGTGCACAGCAATGTTTCAAATAAAATAAGATCATCCATACATCATACAGCTGCAATACATCCAAAACAGTTGCAACAATAAGATCATCATACATCCAAAACAGTTGTAAATAATCTCTCCTTTCAGAACGGTATACAGATACATAATCGGTGGCTGCGGTAGCTATGAGGCGCATTCAACCATGTTACATAACGCACAAACATGAAGAACGCGCTCTTCGCTGTCTTGGGCACAAACTACGTCTTTCCTTTCGATTGCGATTCTAGTACTTAAATCAAGTGCATCACAGTCCTCCTTTTCATCATGTTGGTTTTGTCCCGGCCTGGAGATATCACTTACTTAGCTGTACATGTACTGCTTCTGATTCATTGGAGCGGAACCGCCCGCGGCCCCTGTGATATCCTGATTTTCCTGCACCTATTAGAATGAAGAGGCACAGACAGGCATAGCACTGATTTGCTGCTGTCTAAAATAAAATCATACACGTCGCAAGACACAACAGTACAACTTTTGAAAACACTCTCGAAAATCAAAATAGACCCTGAAAGAATTATTTAGATGCAGTACTTGAGTCTGGAGTTGGTTTCGTCTAAGCCAAAAAGTTCTGAAATCTTCTAACGATTTGCAAAGCATCCCACTCACGACGGCGTCGTCGTGTCGGGCCGATATAAAAATGTGGCAGTGAAATAGTAATAGCAGCAATCTTGGTAGAAGAAATGCTGCGATAGAAGCGCAAGCTGATCTAGTACTAGTTGTGGTTCCTATATCATCTTCTATGGGTTCATCTCTTCATCAACATGCGTGGTAAATTTCTTAACGAAAAGCACCTCCAAAAGCGCCTCCAATAGTGCCTCCATGAACAGGCGAAGGCATATGTCCTCCGTTCCCAAAATGGATATTCCCAGGATTGACATGCACGGCACCAGCACCACCGTTAGCACCTCCGGGGGGAGGAGCGACGTGGACGCCACCACTAGGAGTGATATTCACCACACCAGCACCACCGGTAGCACCTCCGGGGGCAGCGACGTGGACGCCACCACTAGGATTGATATTCACCACACCAGCACCACCGGTAGCACCTCCGGGGGCAGCGACGTGGACGCCACCACTAGGAGTGATATTCGCCACACCACCAGTACCACCGTTAGCACCTCCGGGGGCAGCGGCGTGGACGCCACCACTAGGAGTGATATTCGCCACACCACCAGCAGCACCATTAGTGCCCCCATTGTTTCCATCGCCGCCCGGCCGGGGGAACGGGGAAGGAACAAGAGGCAGCACAGGAATATCCTCTCTAGGGACAGGCTGCGTCGGGGGCACGGCCATGTTGTGGAAGGTCCTGTAGGCATTCGCCAACTGTTGCAGCGTTTCGTTCATGAAATAAACCGGACTAGTATTTTTAGCTAGCAGCTCCTGCTCCTCTTCCGTCAACAACCAGACTTCCGGCATGTTCCACGTCCTTCCCTCAGTGTCGATCGCCGGGTATCTGCACAAAGCCTTGCTGTTCGCGACCACAAAGCCGGTCTCGAGGTGCTTCGTCTCACACAGAAGCACCTCGGGAATGTTGTTTGAGTCTTGGAAGTGAGTACTGGGATGCCCCTCGGCGTCGTTCCAGGCAGTGTAAAAGGCTTGTAGGTTGTGATTGGGAAACATCTTCGGGACCCGTTTCACTACCGTTTTCTCTGTGCTAGCATCTTCGTCTTGATGTTGGTCCCGCGCCGCAGTCGGCTCGTGATCCTCTTTATGCTGGCGCACTCGGGGAAGAAACGAAGCAGTGGCTCCTTCTACCTTCGTTTCCTGATGTTGCACCACCGCAGCTGCTGCACTTCTGTGCGGTATCTGGTCCATGTCCACCGGCCAAAGAGCAATTCTCCCGTCTATCGAGAGGAAATAAAACTGTCTCAGGTTTTTTCAAACTTCTATATTTGCGCAGGAACTCGTCCTTCTATGGTGCAGCGGCTTTTCTTTTTTTCTAGTTATTATGTTGGAGATGCAACTAGAAGGCCTCGGGTGGTCGTAGTACTTACTCTTCATACGTCGTGCTCGTGCCTCTACCTGTTGCAGCTGTTTGAAAAATTCGAAATCGAAACACGACCCTTTCTTGTGTTGCTGAGTCGATTTCGATCTGTGAAAATAAGGCTGAGACAGTTAAATGCTTTCCCTGCCATACTTTCGGGGCCGTCAGGTTGACCTCCGTCATGATCATCCCCCCCAATCGTGCAGCGGTTGAGTTTCTCCAGATTCAGCTCGCCACTCTCATCGCGCAAACTCTGCAGCTCGACGTCGCACAGCTTTTCCGCCTTCTTATTTTCGTACGTTTGCCCATCGGATAACACAACCGGTTCGTGGAAACGATTGCTCTCGTCCTGGAGAAACGCATTAAGCGACCCGAGGTCCTCCCGGTTCTGCATCGCGGGGGGATCATTTTCTGGTTGAACTTCGTCATTACTGTTGTTCACCATAACAACCACAACCGCGATGACCACACCGATAATGACGACTGCGGCGAGCACGATCAGGGTGATCACCAGCGGTTTATTCATCGAGCAAGAAGATTTTTTCTTCGAGACAGGAGCTTCCTCTTCTTGGACTTCGAGTTCAGGCTCGTTATCCAAAAAAGCATCTCCTTCGCCCCCAGCAGCAATTTTGTCAGCATGACGAAAATAGTACGACCCTTGGTCGTGCTCCTGCAGCTGCCGGCTAGGCGGCGGAGGTGCAGCGATCCCCGCCGCACGACGGTCAATAGTGGTGTTGTGAGACGACATTCTTGATGATGATGATGTCGGTTTGTAGTTTTTTTTTTTGGAAATGGTGAAAAAAATTGATGAAGGTACTACAGTTCTAGAGAGTTGTACTTCTACAGAATGGCAAATACAACAAAGCGGTCAGGAGAAGGTAGGTGTACTTAGGAACAAGAACCCCTGCACACAAGATGAGATTTATCATGTAGTAGACACAGGCACAGCAACGTCCTCGGCCGAAAAAATCAAGATTCAGTTTTTTTTTCCAAACGCACTCGGACCACGACGGGTGGACAATTTTCATAAATTTACAAACATATTAAATGCGTAAAAGCTTACTTTGATCATATCTATGGTTATGGGATCGTCATCGAAATCGCGGCACATCTACATTTTCGCTAGCCCAGTACTTCTTTATGCTCTACTTGTGCTTCGGTTTCTTTTTTGATATGTTATCATTTCAATAGATCTTCACGACGGCGCTGACCTCTCTTTATCCGCTTCAGATCGACGATCGCTGTTATGATCTTGTGTTCTTCCTGCATCGTGGCTGCACTACGAGGAGGACTTCTGGACTTTTCGACAGTTGCACAACCCCTGGTCGTGTTGTGCTTTTTGCCTTTGTTGATATGTAATCCGTTTTTTCATCTGGAGCTTCCAGCTCACTTTCAGTTTGACAGCGGATCTTGTCGTAGTTGTTCCGAACATCAAGCAACAAAAACAATTTTCGCCAACATAATGGACCCGAGCGGGGACGAGGAAAAGAAACCATAAAAATTTTACTTTTTTCAAAACAAGACTTTATTTCATTCCGGGTCAAATGCGGGAGGTCGAGACTTTATTTCATTCCGTGTCTATGTATAATGGTGCATACGCTCTCTCGATCATTCGGATTTCCGAACAATTGGTATGTTGTGCTTTACATCATGAGTAGTTTTCTGATTGTGCGCCACTATGTATGTTTCATGTCTACTATGAAGATCAAGATGTATGTGTAGTACTGTCTGTCTACTATAATACTGCTCGATTGTACACGACGTGACGCAGCTTTGCTCTCATCTTCTCACCACCCCTGTGATTGCGGTGGCATAGTATTTTTTTTTCAGATGATTATACAGTAGTTATGCTGGATGTAGTATGTTGTAGCGATTTTTTCCATTTTCCAAGCGTAGCGATTAAATTTTCCGCGATTAACTTTTCCATGCTATTAAAGTACATCCTTTCTAGTAAATTTTCCACGGGGACGGGCGGGCGCAAGAGTTCTCCAGGTGTTTGTGGTGTTGTTCTATCTTGACAACAATCAAATAACACAAGGGTTAGTAGTCCAGGGAGTTCAAAACTCGACTCAGAGAAGACGACGCGCTAGGGGTGCGTGGCAATGGGCAAACTTATGAATGTTGAATCGTTGAGTGCCTTACCCAACAACTGACTGGAGCAATTATAAATGAGTTGTAAAACTAAAGAATTATACACGAAGAACCTTGATAACTATACACGAAGAAACTTGATAGTAGAAAAGTACATGCTGTAGTGGAGTGACTCTGACCCAAAACTGTACCGCCCATTCTCACTTTCAAAACAAGTAAAACTCCTGCGCCGAAAAGAACTACTCGCCGCACTTCCCAACTCTAGCTCAATCGAGTCGGAGGGCCCGCTATACAGGTAGGTCGTCCAGACCCCCTTTTCGTTTTTAGGAAAACAAAGCGATAGGAGTTGAAGTTGTTGTGCCCTGTGGATGTGCTACGTCTTGTTAAAAACATACCGCCAAGATATTTTTAGTTTTGCTTTTCAATATACTACTCAAACGTTCCCCCACTCCTGATCCCTGACCATCGCGTTGAAGCTGCCCACGCAATCCGCGAAGTGGGGCGACACATTGGTACCAACATCACGCAAGTTCTCCGTCAATGCGCGGAGCCCCAATTCCGTTTCCCCGGTTCCATTCACCGCTCCGTGGGCCTGGAAAATTTGGTGCAGCTGCGCTCGCAGGAGCATCCACTCGGTGACGCCGACGAGGCAGATGGTAGAGCGGATGCGGGTCACATCGTTAGCAATCAGGTTGTCGCCGGTGTTGCACGGAGTTCCGTCTCCGAGAGCGCAGCCGCCCGGAATCTGGAGGTCCAACTCCGTCGCGACGATGGACCGTGGAGTGTTGCTATCCAAGAAAAAAAAAGCGCTCAGCTGTGTAAACCATCCTCTATGGATATTAACATGATAATAAAGGCAGCCACACTTGATGTCAGGGTGAACGTGCTGTCACAGCAGCGCGGATCACGAGTGTTTCTGTTTTCCATTACCATTTCACGCAGTACCAGCCGCGCATGACAAGTTTTTCATGTCTGTCATGCGAAGAGAATCGGAATCTGTGCTGCGGTCAGCGTCAGTTGAAGGATATTACATATAAACTGCACAGTCTTTTTCTTGGATAGGTATCTGGGCCATCTTCCGGTAAATTATTGGTATCCAATAAGTTCTGCAAATCGGGCTCGTTGCACGGGCATCCTGAATAAAATCACCTCACCCTCCATCTTCATCTTCAAGTTTAATTGATGCAATTGCAACTCGATAGATGTAGATCTGTCATAATGCATGATACCATAGCGCCATTATAGAGCGTGGCAAGTGGAGACTCACTGATGCGGGCGGGGTAATGATAAAAGTTTTATTCAGGATATAGCTCCAGACCACAACCCGTCGTGGGCCCAACTGCAATCCTGGCCGTAGTTAGCTTTGCGGGCTGACGCTTGGTTTGTGTTGGGCGGAGTGGCAGGAGCGGCCTCGCCCGGATGTTTCGGCATGGGTCGGTCCGCCTTGACGACGCGGTAGCGGTGCCCTGCGCGCAAGCTGTTTTCCGGAGTGTGCCAGGCCCTGTCCGGGCCCTTGTTTCCGGAATGGTAGCCGTCGGACTGAAGGGACTGATACTTGACGCACACTTTGTCACGACCTCTATTTGTAAACGGGTCACGGTCCGCCATTGGAAAGGGAAGCTGCGCGGTTAGCTGTGCGTCATCCATCAGTTTACGGGGAACCTGCACGGTAAAGAAATTCCACACCCCGCCCCTACGAAGGTGAAAGACAAACTGGACCCCGGCGAGTGGCTCTGCGGGAGAAAAGTACGTCGCAAGAATGGGGGCGCGGAAAGCAAACTTGTATTCGGCGGCCGCTCCAGAGCCCTGTACCCACGGACGCCGGGGTGGCGACCCATCAGGTTGCGGGAATTCAAGCGGCTGGCGCAGATTTGCGCTCCCAAAAGTGTCGTCGCCGGAACCTGGCACCCGCTGCCCGTCTCTCCGATCACTAAAATAGTCGGTGTCTACCACTTTGACAAGAACCTCTGGCGCATAGGCGGGGTCAAAATCGAACTCGAAGTGAGTTGCTGCAGCAAGCGCCTTCGGCGCAGGCGGTGCGGTTGGCGTAGCCGGTGCGGTTGGCGTAGCCGGTGCGGTTGGCGTAGCCGGTGCGGTTGGCGTAGCCGGTGCGGTTGGCGTAGCCGGTGCGGTTGGCGTAGCCGGTGCGGTTGGCGTAGCCGGTGCGGTTGGCGTAGCCGGTGCGGTTGGCGTAGCCGGTGCGGTTGGCGTAGCCGGTGCGGTTGGCGTAGCCGGTGCGGTTGGCGTAGCCGGTGCGGTTGGCGTAGCCGGTGCGGTTGGCGTAGCCGGTGCGGTTGGCGTAGCCGGTGCGGTTGGCGTAGCCGGTGCGGTTGGCGTAGCCGGTGCGGTTGGCGTAGCCGGTGCGGTTGGCGTAGCCGGTGCGGTTGGCGTAGCCGGTGCGGTTGGCGTAGCCGGTGCGGTTGGCGTAGCCGGTGCGGTTGGCGTAGCCGGTGCGGTTGGCGTAGCCGGTGCGGTTGGCGTAGCCGGTGCGGTTGGCGTAGCCGGTGCGGTTGGCGTAGCCGGTGCGGTTGGCGTAGCCGGTGCGGTTGGCGTAGCCGGCGCGGTTGGCGTAGCCGGCGCGGTTGGCGTAGCCGGTGCGGTTGGCGTAGCCGGCGCGGTTGGCGTAGCCGGCACGGTTGGCGCAGCCGGCGCGGTTGGCGTAGCCGGCGCGGTTGGCGTAGCCGGCGCGGTTGGCGTAGCCGGCGCGGTTGGCGTAGCCGGCGCGGTTGGCGTAGCCGGCACGGTTGGCGTAGCCGGCACGGTTGGCGTAGCCGGCGCGGTTGGCGTAGCCGGCGCGGTTGGCGTAGCCGGCGCGGTTGGCGTAGCCGGCGCGGTTGGCGTAGCCGGCACGGTTGGCGCAGCCGGCGCGGTTGGCGTAGCCGGCGCGGTTGGCGTAGCCGGCACGGTTGGCGCAGGGGGCCCCTGCGGGAGGTCATCTCCGGGATTCAACTGCTGCGGGATAGGCAAGCTGTGAAACGTCCCGTAGACATTGACCAACCGTTGCAATTTTTCGTTCTTGAAATAAGTCGCACTTCCACCCAGCACCTGGTCTTCTGTCAAGACCCACACTTCCCGAATGTTCCAAGTAATTCCGTTTGTATCAGTGGCCGGGTAGTGACACAGACCCTTGCTTTCCGTGCCCACAGCGCCCGTCTGGTAGTCTTTCGTGTGGCACAGAAGCATCTCCGGAACGTTGTTACTAGGGTCTTGGAAGTAGGAACTACTCGGGTGGTTTTCCGCGTCGTTCCAAACGGTATAAAACTCCCGCAGTTGCTTATTGGGAAACATCTTCGGAAGGCGCTCCACCATTTTTTCTTGGTTGTCACCCGGCTCTACTTCGTCGCGACCATCGTCGCTTCTCTGTTGCTCCGCCTGCGCTTGCTGCAGTTGCAGGAACGAAGCCGAAGATCGAGCCGCCGCTGCATTTTTTCGCTGAGGTAGGTTCGCTGGTAGTTCAGCCAACGGCCAATCGTCCGATAGCAGTACAGTCCTCTCGCCGCCCCGCTCGTCTGCTGCGATTCTGCAGGGCCGGTTCAGCTTTTCCAAGCTGAGGTCCTGACCATTCTCCTCGTACAGGCTCTGCACGGAAACGTTGCAAACCTTACTGGCAGCCAGATTTTCGTAAGTCTGCCCATCGGATAACACAACCGGGTCGTGGAAACGATTGCTCTCTTCCTGGAGAAACGCATTCAACGACCCAAGGTCCTCCCGGTTCTGCATCGCGGGAGGGTCGTGAGCTGGTGCCGGGTTGTGAGTCTCATTGCCGGGCGAGTTTTTGTTGTTGTTCGCCACAACAACCACAACCGCGACAACAGCACCAATAACGAGGACTGCGGCAATCACGATCAGGGTGATGATAAGCGGTTTATTTTTGGAGCAGCAATTTCTATCATTGGCTTCCGTGGAGCTTCTATGTTCGGGGTGAAATTCGTGCTGCCCTGTCAAGGCTCTCTCGTGCTCACCCGCCGCAGCCGCATACCCGTTGCGTCCCTCCTGGTGACGGTACGGTGCGGGCACTGTGCGGTCTCTACGCGTCATAATTGTAGTTGCTCTCTGAAGATTCTGCTGGGTAGAAGTACCAATCACGTAGACACAAATTCAGTGCAAAATCTGTTTGACTCGAAGAAGCCTTGGGTTCTTTATTAGCTCTATTCCAAAACTAGACGTAGACTTACTTAAGTACACACTCAAAACAAAAATATGAAAAATCGGTTTATCGTAGTAGCTTCTTTGAATATTTCTTGACGCTGAGGAACAGGATTGCTTCTCTAATAACAGTTCAATATAGATAATTCTGTCGAAAGAGAAGAATATTGTACAAAACTAGCAGCAACAGCACTTTTCCAAAAGTTCCTGTAAGATCACATTCACACCAGAAAAAAATATAGTGCGTGAGATTGCAGTGATTGTTTTTTACTCGTTTTTATTGCAGAGCGGTAGATCTTCATTTCGCAAGTGGAAGGATTGTGATCTCACGATCTTCGCTTTTGTTCTTGAACCATGCGTCGTGCACTTGTTCTTCATGAGCATCCACTATTTACTTCCCTCTCTCTTGATCTTGCAGCGTCTCGATCGACAAATGCTGATGCTCGCACCAGGAGAGGCAATACTTGGAGGCCCGCTTATTTAGCGTTGTCTCTCGTCCTGGTGCCGTGATCATTATATCTCGATCCTACCACTCTGTTTCCTGATCTCGACCAGCAATTTTATTTTATCGTGAAAACCCGGCCCCGAGCCTGAGTCGGTTTTGTTCTGTACGTCACCCTGGCCTGTGCTGATTTGGCCGGCGGGTCGTGGTGTTCTTGGAGGAGCTTGCACAGCAAGATCAAGATCTATTCTCCTGTTCAGTGTTGACATTAAGACTGTTTTCGCATACAAATCAATAAGAGCTTGAACACGCTTGCCTCCAGCGTCGTTCCGGGCAGGGAAACTGCTAATTTGGATTCAAGTGCAACTAATAGGATGTGAGTACAAATTCTTTTCATGATGTTCTCTCCTCTACTAGGGTCCTGCTGGCGATGTATATAACACTCCTTCGCATTCACCAAAATGAAAATCAGACACATCGTACTATCTATAAGTAGGTCATCCAGACCACCTTGTGTTTCTTGGGTACAAAACCCACCTCGTTTAGCAAAACATGTTGTACTTCTTGGGTACAAAACAAAGAAATCCCTCGCTAAGCAAGCACTAAATACTTACTTTACTCCTGCGCTACACAATAAGTCTTGATTTGACCAAACAGCAACATCAATAAGCATTGTGTCGTGGGGAGTGGTTCTAATTCTAAAATATGACCTCACTACATAAAAGAAATCGGAGCTGTTTTTGCGTGGTATGAATATCACCTACTACTTGTCGTTTGTGAAATACAGTACGACCTCCGTAGTTTTCTCTTTAGAACTCAAACATTTCCCCAGGTCTGATCCCTGACCATCGCGTTGAAGCTGCCCACACAATCCGCGAAGTGGGGCGACACGTTGTTGCGGACGTCCCACAGATTGTCCACCAGTGCGCGGAGCCCCAAGTCTGTCTATCAAGTGCAAAAGTGCTTGGGTCTGGAAAGGTGTAGACTTGTCACGCAGATTTTCCATGACCCATGAGGCCTGGAATGCGGGACTTAGCATGACAGAATCTGCGAGGTCTCTGCCATGCCTAGTATCCTGCATGAGAAACTCCCTTCCACCTTGGTCAAAAGTGTGCCGCTTTTGGCACTCATGCAACACGGATTTTTGCATGCTTCAGATTTACAACCATGACAAATTGCAATCTTCCAGACCCTGACCCAGAGATTTTTGCAATTCATACCGTCTCCCCGGTTCCAACATTCACCGCTCCGTGGGCCTGGAAGATATGGTGCAGCTGCGCTCGCAGCAGCATCCACTCGGTGACGCCGACGAGGCAGATGGTAGAGCGGATGCGGGTCACATCGTTAGGAATTAGGTTGTCACCGGTGTCGCACGGAGTTCCTTCCCCGAGGACGCAGCCGCCCGGAATCTGGAGGTCCAACTGCGTCGCGACGAGTGACCGTGGAGGGTGATGATAAGCGGTTTATCTTTGGATTTTCTATTCTTGGCTTCCGTGGAGCTTCTATATTCGGGGTGAAATTCGTGCTGCCCTGTCAAGACCCTCTCGCCCTCACCCACCGCAGCCGCACCATACCCGCTGCGTCCCTCCTGGTGACGGTGCGGCGCGGTGACTGTGAGCAGGTCTCTACGCGTCATAATTGTAATTTCTCTGTGAAGTGATTTCTGCGGGGTAGAAGTGCCAAGCTATCACGTAGACACAAACTCAGCGTAAATAAATCTGTTCGAGTTCGACTCGACGCCCTGGATTCTTTCTTAGCTCTATTCCAAAACTAGACCTTGTTTGTTTGTTAGTAATGGAGTCGTGGTTTTCGTGTGAAGGGTTCACCTTCGTCCTCGTACGATGCTACTGCTAGTTCAAGAAAAATACTAGGTGGCTACAGCAGCTTTGGCCTCGTAAGTAAGCCTGAGAAAAAGAAAAAGTAAAGATACAGGAGAGCTATTTTTCGTCACTAGAGAGAGGCTTTTCGAAAGTTACTAAAAAGTCGAAGTTATTTGTTTGTGAAAAAAGAAAAAGTTTTTCAACGTAGGAGCTGTTGTTTCTGAAAAAGTGAAGTCTATATCTGCGAGAAAGGTTGATTTTGTTTCGTGATGAAAAGAGGAAAGCTACTAAGTTATTCCTGGTTGAACTTGTGTTGACCAGCTGGAAGTCAAAACTAGACCTTCTTCTACACACTAAATATGAAATATCGGTTTATCGTAGCAGTTTCTGTAAATATTTTTCGACGCAAAGGAATAGGAGTGCTTCTCTAATAACAGACTCAAGTAGACGTAGAAACATAAAGAAAACCGCGACAACAGCACCGATAACGAGGCCTGCGGCAATCACGATCAGGGTGACGATAAGCGGTTTATTTTTGGACCAGCAATTTCCATTCTTAGCTTCCGTGGAGCTTCTATTTTCGGGTTGAAATTCCTGCTGCCCTGTCAAGGCCCTCTCGCCCTCATTCGCCGCAGCCGCATACCCGCTGCGTCCCTCCTCTTGACGGTACGGCGCGGTGACTGTGCGGTCTTTACGCGTCATAATTGTAATTGCTCTGTGAAGTTGTAGAGTCTGCGGGGTAGTACCAATCACGTAGACACAAACTCAGTGCAAAATCCATTCGACTCGAAGCCTGCTTAGATTGTTCTTTAGTAGCTCTATTCCAATAAAACTAGACCTTCTGCACACTCAAAACACAAATACCTATGAAAAATCGGTTTATCGTAGCAGCTTCTCTAAATGTTTCTCGACGCAGAGGAACAGGATGGCTTCTCTAATACAGACTCACGTAGAAAGTGGATAAAGAAAAAAATCAAAAAAATATTGTACAACAAAACTAGCAGCAACTTCCATCAATTCCTGTAAAACTAAAATCACATTCACACCGGTAGGAGAAAAAAAAAGTGCGTGGAATTGCAGTGATCATTGTTTTTCACTCGTTTATTCTTGCAGAGCGGTAGGTTTTGATCCCGGAAGCGGAACAATTGGGACTTTTCGACAGTTGCACAACCCCTGGTCGTGTTGTGCTTTTTGCCTTTGTTGATCTGTGATCCGTTTTTTCATCTGGAGCTTCCAGCTCACTTTCAGTTTAAGAGCGGATCTTGTGGTAGTTGTTGCGAACATCAAGCAACAAAAACATTTTTCGCCAACATAATGGACCCCAACGGGGACGAGGAAAATAAATGGATGGAATTCTTACTTTTTTCAAAACATCAAGACTTTATTTCATTTCGGGTCTCGCGGGAGGTCGAGCTCCCAAAATAACTGTCTATCTATGGTGCATGCGCTCTCTCGATCGTTCAGATTTCCGAACAATTGGTATGTTGTGCTCTACATCATGGATAGTTTTCTGATTGTGCGCCACTATGTATGTTTCATGTCTACTATGAAGATCAAGATGTATGTCTATGTGTATCTTGCTACTATAATACTGCTCGATTGTACATGACGTGACACAGCTTTGCTTTCATCTTCTCACCACCCCTGTGATTGCTATGGCATTGTTTTTTTTTTTCAGATGATACAGTAGTTTGTTATGCTGGATGTAGTATGCTGTAGCGATTCCATTTTCCAAGCGTATCGATTAAATTTTCCACGATTAACTTTTCCATGCTATTAAAGTACATCCTTTCTAGTAAATTTTCCACGAGGACGGGCGGGCGCAAGAGTTCTCCAAGTGTTTGTGGTGTTGTTGACAACAATCAAACACAAGGGCTAGTAGTCCAGGGAGTTCAAAACTCGTAGAACTCGCCTAAGAAAAGAGGACGTGCTAGTGTTGCGTGGCAATGGGCAAACTTATGAATGTTGAATCGATGAAGGACTCACCCAACAACTGACTGGAGGAATATATGAGTAAAGCTGAAGAATTATACACGAATGATGATGATTAGTTCGAGCTGGGCTCGGCACACGCACAATCATACACGAATAAAGTTGATAATACATGAAAAATACGTGCTGCTGTAGTGGAGTGACTCTGACCCAAAACTGTACCGCTCATTCTCACTTTCAAAACAAGTAAAACTCCTGCGCCGAAAAGAACTACTGGCCGCACTTCCTAACTCTAGCTCAATCGAGTCGGAGGGCCCGTTATACAGGTAGGTCGTCCAGACCCGCTTTTCGTTTTAGCAAAACAAAGAAATAGGAGTAACTCCCTTGAAGTTTTTGTGCCCTGTTGATGTACTACGTCTTGTACTTAAAATACCGCCAAGATATTAGTTTTATACTACAACTCAAACGTTCCCCCAGTCCTGATCCCTGACCATCGCGTTGAAACTGCCGACGCAATCCGCGAAGTGGGGCGACACGTTGGTGCCAACATCCCGTAAATTCTCCATCAGTGCGCGGAGCCCCAATTCCGTCTCCCAGGTTCCCATATTCACCAATCCGTGGGCAAGGAAAATTTGCTGCAGCTGCGCCCGCAGGCGCTTCCACTCGTTGACGCCGACGAGGCAGATGGTGGAGCGGATGCGGGTCACATCGTTAGGAATCAGGTTGTCGCCGGTGTTGCACGGAGTTCCGTCTCCGAGGACGCAGCCGCCCGGGGTGGTGATGTCAAGTTCCGTCGCGATGATGGACTTCGGCGACGTGTCCTCGCCGGTGGCCCGTAAATTGTCGAGGTCCCAGACGTTCTGCAGATCGGGCTCGTTGCAACCATGACCATTAGACCACTTGCCATCGTGGGCAAAGCTGCAGCGCTCACCATAGTCAGCGTCCCGCGCCTCCGCCCGGTTTGTGTCGGGCGGGGTGGGCGAGCGTGTCGGCATCGGGCGGTCGGCTTTGACAACGCGGTAGCGGTGTCCGGCACGCAGGCTGTTCGCGGGCGTGTGCCAGGCACGATTCGGGCCGTCGTTCCCGGAGTGGAGGCCGTCCGAATGCAGAGGCTGATACTTGACGCAAACGTTGTCGCCTTGAGCACCGGCTCTGAGCGGTTGCCGAGCCCGAGGATCATTTATCGCGGCCTCGTGAATTAAGCCAGCCGGAATCTGCACGGTAAAAAAATTCCACACTGATCCGATGCGCAGATTGAAAACGAAGTGAGGCCCGGCGAACAATTGCATCGGGTCGTACGTCGAGACTATGGGGGCACGGAAGAAAAACTTGTACGGAAAGGGACTCAAATGGGGCTCTTTCTGAGTCCACGGAACCGGCTGCCCATCAACGGCAGTGACCTGCGTGAAGGAAGTCGACGATTTTCATTTTCGTCTTCGTGGCAGAATTTGCATTTCGCAATTCGAGTTTCTTTGTCGGATACTCGTCAGACATAAATCGTTCCAAACAAAGGGCTGCAAGAGACGGTAGACACTCGACCGATGCGCTGGCAATTACTTAATGGCTGAAGAGTTACTATTGGTACATACTAGAAGCTATGTATCATGCATCTTTGGCCTTGTCGCCCAATCCGAATTTTCTGGGGGTTCACGCTGAGTGCAACAATACCCACTTTGCACGACTATGACTTCTGTACGCAAAAAGAATGAAAAGGGTACCGGCTGGCGCAAGCTCGTGCTTCCAAAAGTGGGCCCAGCAAGGGAAGCCAGACTGTCTTGCAGCACCTCTACAAGAATCTCCGGTTCGTGGTTGGCGTCAAAACGAAACTCGAAGTGGGTTGCTGCAGCAAGTGCCTTTGGCGCAGGCGGTACGGATGACGCAGACGTTGCGGCTGGCGTAGCCGGTGCGGTAGGCGTAGCCGGTGCGGTTGGCGTAGCCGGTGCGGTTGGCGTAGCCGGTGCGGTTGGCGTAGCCGCTGCGGGTGGTGTAGACGGTGCGGTTGGCGTAGCCGGTGCGGTTGGCGTAGCCGGTGCGGTTGGAGTAGCCGGTGCCGTTGGCGTAGCCGGCGCGGTTGGCGTAGCCGGCGCGGTTGGCGTAGCCGGTGCGGTTGGCGTAGCCGGTGCCGTTGGCGTAGCCGGCGCGGTTGGCGCAGGGGGCCCCTGCGGGAGGTCATCTCCGGGATTCAATTGCGGCGGGATAGGCAAGCTGTGAAACGTCGCGTAGGCAATGGTCAACCGTTGCAACTTTTTGTTCTTGACAAAAGTCGCATGTCCATTCAACACCTCGCCTTCTGTCAAAACCCACACTCCCGGAATGTTCCAAGTAATTCCGTTTGTATCAGTGGCCGGGTAGTGGCACAGACCCTTGCTTTCCTCGTCCACAGCGCCCGTCTGATAGTCTTTCGTGTGGCACAGAAGCATCTCCGGCATTTCGTTGGGGTTTTGGAAGTAGGAACTACTCGGGTGATGCTCCGCGTCGTTCCAGGCGGTGTAAAACTCCTGCAGTTGCTTATTGGGAAACATCTTCGGAAGACGCTCCACCGTTTGGTCGTCAACTTCTTCCGCTGGGCCGTCTCTCTTATCCTGTTGTTCCGCCAGCGCTTGCTGCGATTGCAGAAACGAAGACCGGGCCGCCGCTGCACCTTTTCGCTGCGCCAGGCTCGCCGGTAGTTCAGCCATCGGCCAATCGCCCGATAGCACCACAGTCCTCTCGCCACCCCGCTCGTCGGCCGCAATTCTGCAGGGCCGGTTCAGCTTTTCCAAGCTGAGGTCCTCACCATTCTCCTCGTACAGACTCTGCACGGAAACGTTGCAAACCTTCCGCGCAGCCTGCTTTTCGTAAGTCTGCCCATCGGATAACACAACCGGTTCGTGGAAGCGGTTTTTTTCGTCCTGGAGAAAGGCATTCAGCGACCCGAGGTCCTCCCGGTTCTGCATCGCGGGGGGATTATTTTCATGTTGAACTTCGTCATTCGTCTTACTGTTGTTCAGCATGACAACCACAACCGCGATGACCACACCGATAATGACGACTGCGGCGAGCACGATCAGGGTGATCACAAGCGGTTTATTCAGCGAGCAAGAAGATTTTTTCTTCGAGAAAGGAGCTTCCTCTTCTTGGACGTCGCGTTCAGGCTCGTTATCAAAAAAAGCATCTCCTTCGCCCCCAGCTGCAATTTTGTCCGCATGACGAAAATAGTACGACCCTTGGTGCTGCTGCAGCTGCCGGCTAGGCGGCGGAGGTGCGACCCCCGCCGCACGACGGTCAATAGTGGCGTTGTGGGACGACATTCTTTTGATGATGTCGGTTTGTGTAAGTAGTTTTTTTTTTGGAAGTGGTGAAAAAAATTGATGAAGATACAGTTTTAGAGAGAACTTTGTACTTCTGCAGAATAGCAAATCCAAAGCAGTCAGAAGCTAGTTGTACTTCGGCGCAAGAACCCCTGCACACAAGGTGATATTGATCATGTAGTAGACACAGCAACGCCCTCGGCCAAAAAAATCAAGATCTCATTTTTTTTCGAAACGCACTCGGACCACGAACAGTGGACACAATTTTTCATAAATTTACAAATATAAATGCGTCGTATGGTTGTGGGATCAGCCTCGTGAAAAAAATTTCGCTAGCCTATTTCTTTTGCTCCACTTCGTTTTCTTTGGTTACAGGATTTGGGTCGCCCTAAAGGGCGACCCCTTGGTGGCCGGTCCTAGGAGTCTGGACCGGAACGAATGAAAGCAGGTAGGGCGATGCCGAAAATGTTGGGAGAAAGAGAGACCGCAAGAAGGGGGGCGCGCCTCAAAGTAATAGGCTAACCGATACCGCAAGGGGAGGGCGCGAAAAGATTCCAGGCGGGCCGCTTGCTTCCGAGCGGGCCGGCCGTCTTACTCACCTAGACGACCGCCCCATCCGGCGTTGGTAGCCGGCTTGTGCCCGGGCTTTGTTGGTTCCCAAGCCAACCCGTCGCCTGCGCCCAGGCTTTACTGTTTCGTTGCTATACCACGGGCCACGGGGTTCGTACCAACCTCGGACGGGCGACAAAGGAGCGAACCATCGGCCGGCGGCCTTCGGCCGCCCAAAAGGGCAAAGAAAGGGGCGTGGCCGCAAACATGAAGCCGGGCGGAACAGAAGAGGCAGGGGCCTCTTGGATGTTTGCCGGCCGGCAAGTTCCTAGCGCAAGCGACCCTTCGGCCGGCGGCCTTTGGCCGCTCCACTTGGCAGGGGCAAGGCAACGCAATACATCAAGCCCAGGGCGGCAAGCTCCTGCTAGCGCACAGCAGCCCGCAGGCACCAGCAGCGGCCCCCTCCGCTAGAAGCAAACAGAGCGGAGGCACTTCCCCCAATGTGACGCGGGTGCGCGGATTGTTCCGCCCTTTCTCCCCCCTTAGTTGTTGGCCTGCCATAACGTCGTTGTTGGTTGTGGTGGGTCGTGGCCTTCGGGGACTCCGCCTCAAGTCCCAGGGGGGGGTCCAGGGGGGGGCAACCCCCCGGGGGTCCCCCCCCCTTTGGCCCCCCCCTGGGGGGGGGACCCCCCCCCCTGCCAGGAGCGGATTCCCTACTTTTTGTCCGGTCCAGATTTCCGGATTCCTTTTCGGCCATTATTGTACTTTTAATCATGTAATCGCGTTGATCTCGTCCATCATTTGATTTTTTGGCGTTCTGTTCTTTCTGTCCTTTCACAAGCGAGATCACGTTAATGATTTCTTTTTATCCACCGCTTCAAATTCACCTCGACGATCGCTGTTATGATCGCTTGTATTCTACTTCTTGCATCGTGGCTGCACGACGAGGACTTCTGGATTTTTCGACAGTTGCACAACCCCGGGTGTTGTGCTTTTTGCTTTTATTGATCTGTGATCTGTTTCATCTGGAGCTTGCAACTCACTTTGTTCAATTTCAGGAGCGGACCTAAGAACTACAAGCGTGTCCTCCCTGTTAGTTCGCTGTGTTGCTGCTGACAGACTGGTGCCTTAGAGTCTTCATTTTCTGGGAAACAGGACAAATATCATGTTGTGCCTGCTTTTATTCGCCAACACCATACGATACATAGATGATGCTTTATTCTTGCAAAACGACAAGTTATCATTTTCCGGGTTGCGGGTGGTCCAGAACTGTCTAGGTAGAAATAATTTGCTTCAGCACATGATTCACAATCACCTCCTCGCGACTAAACCTTGCCTCCCGGTTGGAAATAGTTCGAAAACATTTTCGAACTACTCGACCATCATGTCCATCATGCTCTAACTAGCTGCACACCTGCCTAGAAAAAAGTGCAGTTAAAACAAGTGAAGCGTTCCATTTCTAGGTGCTTTTGATTTTTTTCACATATTTTTTCTACACACATGTATAAGTAGTTTTTTGATCGAAATAAAACTTGGCGATCATCATCTTCTGGAATTCGACCGAGCCTCACGTGAGCAGCTCCTGAAGATAGCAGATGATATTCATCTCCTTGTTTAGTGCAAACGCAATACAACACCTTCTCTTCAGAGGACTTCGGTACTATTTCCAAGTTCGAAATGGAAAAGGTGGCCCACAACTAATTTCAAGTACTTCCGAAAGTAGGTACTTAGCGCTGCAGTGTTGCAGCCCCTCCTGTAATCGAACAAGAAATTTCTAACTATCACTGCTCGCGCTTTTGCTTTTAGTTTTCGAGGTCGAAATAAATACATTGTACACGTAGGGCTTGGACGTTGTTCTTCTATCTTGATATAACAAATATAAAATTATCCACGTAGGGCTGAAAAAGAAAAACGCGAAAGTTGTTGTACAGCTTATGTTCAGTTAGGAGAAGGTGATGTCTCGCCAAAGCTTAAATTTCTGGCGGAAGTAGCGGTGAAGAGATAAAAAAATACACGACACAATCACAACAATCTGCTCCACTGGTGTAGGCTCATCACGACGGTCCTTCGCCTCTATCTTCCTCTCTTACATCAACAAGTTCCATAAGCTTCACTAGTTCTTGTGCTTTAATACGAGTTATGTTTACCGAAGTAGATGTCCGCATACTAGTTGGACCAAATAAAACAAACTTCGATCGAGAGAGATAAAAGTGCTGCCGGCGATCTCTTCATGTTAGCACCCATACTTCTGCACCAACGATGGAGCTAGATTTCATACATAGTTGTGCCAACATTCTAGAACTGGTGATGATATTGGTACTACTAATACGGTGTATCAAGAGATAACTAACACTCGATATTTGCGTCCATTATCCACTGTGTCAAAACTATAGGAAAAACCAGATCAAAAGTAATAAACCCATTGAATCTCCTCGAGGGTCAGCGCGCGCCCTCCTGTCCAGCCGCCCAAGAACTTCTTTGGACGTGGTCGTTGAAAAGCTTCAAGAGTAGTTGTGCCGACTTGTTGTCAGCATATCTGTCGTCCTTTGCAGCCATTCTTGGAAATTCTTGCGCACAGAGGAATCTTCGTGCTACTGCTAGTTCCGGAGAGGTAATATCAACCTGAGATGATCCCCGCAAGCGCGGCATCCTAACTGGCGTTTCCATCTGCGTCACTAGCAGGAGCATCTGTCCTCCCACCTCCTTGAGGTCGTGGGGCTGCATCGTCCCCGGGAGCAGCGGCAGGCGAGACGTCCCGCGAGGACTGCTCCTGGTCCACATCCGCCACAGCAGCGCCAGCTCCAGCCGGATCTCTCTGCTGGTCGGAGCTCCCGCCCGCGGTTGGAAAAACACTGGACGTGCGCTGCTCCTCAGCCACTTGCGCTTGAGCCGCAAGAGAAGAAGGCATTGGTGGTAGGGGTGGTGCTGGTGCCCGCCTGTGCGCACGTAATATTGCGACGGTCTCTGGAGACGGCGGTGGAAGTGAAAATTTGGGAACCGCCTTTGGGCTCAGACCGAGGCGCTTAAATAGCGGATGATCTCCCTCACCACCTGGAAAGATTCGCCGAGGTGCGTTAGGCACAGACGTCGCAGCGGTGTCACCACCCAAACGCGCCACAACGGGCCCGGTTCCAGCCGGATCTCTCTGCTGGTCGGCGCGCACTTCTGCGGTCGGAAAAGCACTGGAGGTCGCGTGCTGCTCAGTGGCCTGCTCTGCTTGATCCACAGAGGAAGAGAGCCCCGGCGTTGTAGTTAGCGGCCGTGCTATTTTCGCTCGCTGCGGTTCCGCCATCAAGACCGGTTGTTCTTCTTGAGCGACCCTGTTTTCGTTTTCCCCTTCCGGCGCAGCAACAAGTTGCTCCCCCGCTCCTTCCACCTCCTCGGGTTGATCATCCTGAGATGCCTGTGCTGTACTTGCTGCTTCTGAATCCTGGTCTGCTCGCGGTGCAGCCGACAACGTCGCCGCCCTGGATCGTCCGTCACTCGACGAAGCAGGTCGTGCTTCTTCTTTCTCTCCGTCAGAATCGAGGACGGGCCCGAAGGAGGACGCATACATATCTACTGCATTGTATCGAGGACGTGCGGACCCAAACCTATCTGCATCGTATTCGTCGTCTGATTCATCTCGATCGGGATGCTGGTCGAAATGCCGCCTCCAGTCGTCGGCGATCTCTGTGGCTTGGGACGAAGCTGCAGCAGCAGCAGCCAGAGAGGCCGCGGCGGCGGCGGCTGCGGCTTCTTCTCGCCGCGCCCGTTTTGCTATCAAATGCAAACATCTCTGGGTCTGGCAACGTGCATGTAGTAGTAGTGATTCCCAGCAAGGGGAGAGAAATTCTGCCCCACATTTTCCTTCAGATGATCACACAAAAATCAACATGCATGGACACGAAAAGCAGTTGCCCACTTCTTCTCACCAAGAGAAGACAGTTCTCATGCGGGTCAAGCAATGCGACTCCTCTGAAAACCTGCGATGCTACGGGGGCTTGCATGCTAGCAAATGGCCTTATTGTGTCATACAAAGAGGACACGGGCAGCATGATGGCAAACATCTGCGTTCTTGTTGCAGACCCAAACATCTTTGCTGTGGATATCTTCTGCCGCCGCCTGCAATCGTTTTTGCTCTTCCTCTTCGAGGTGCTGCAGAAGCAAAGGAGTGACTTTCCAATTTCTTTCCATACTCTCCCGCACAATCGCTTTATGGAAACGAAAAAGTGCTGCAGGTGCTGCCCTCTCACGAAAGCTGAAGCTGAACGACCTCCGATGACGCCTATAAAAACATACTTACATGATCAAGACCTCGCTCGTCACTTCGTCACCCTCGACGCTTTATCGCAAGTATTCTGCGATAAATTTTCTGTTCTTGACTCTACATCTCCGTTGGCGATGCAACAAGCGTCACCTGTCTGAGGTGCAAAACCTCCAAAATGAATACGAAAACAAACCACGCTGGGTCAAGAATAAGATTATCTACCGCATCAAAAGTAGAAAATCATCAAAACAAGAAGACAGCACCACCCCACACTGCTTTTCCGTTTCCATATAGGCCCCTGTATTCGTGGTACCGTCCGTAATCTCGCTTTTCTTGTAAGGATTTGCGAGGTTCATCGAAACGGTAGACCACGTCTAGCTTGAGGCTCAACGATTTTTTGGATGAAATCTCCGGGGCTGCAGGTGCTTCTGGAGGGCGAGCTGCAGCTGAGGAAGCAGGAGCCGACAGGTCATCTAGCATTTCTCCCCGTCCTTCTCTGCTCTGAGTGACAGCAGGAGATATCGACGAACCGGGTGCCGGTAAGACAAAGGACATCCATTCGTCCCCGAACGTCCACAAATCGGTTTCATTCCATGTTTTACTCGTCCGTGGATCATTCCATGTTTTACTCCACCATGTTTCATTACGCGCCCATTCCGTTTCCGGCTGGTAGAACCAGTGCACTCCCAGGTCGACGCCCATCACCTATCACACGGAAAAGGAAAAGCACACGCATACCGGGAAAAGAACGTGTTGATAAGATGCAGTGAAAATCCTGGAACGAAGGAGCTAGAAGTATGGGGCCACGCTTTTCCCATGCAAAATGCAGCCTGTAATGATCATGCGCGAAGCCAAGGAGAAGGGTACCATCAAAACATTTGTCATCGTAGACACGACGAAGCAGGCCGCTCAGGCACCTACTCGCGATACGAAAAGTTGCAGGGCAAGTGAGTTCCTAATATGGTATGGGTGTGCTACTTTTCTGTAGAATATCACCAGCGCGGACGCGACCCACAGCTCGACGGGCCCCAGGGGGGCTCCAGAAAGGCTCCCGTCTTTGTTCCTCATCCTCGTCAATTGCTCGGCAGTCTCCGGAGAGGGCACTCGCTCAAGGTCTATGTCCCCGACAGAATAGAAACACAGGTAGTTCCACTGTTGCGGATACCTGTAGAAGCTGTTCCCGCAATTGAGTCATCGAACGCAAATACGTCTGGGTCTGGAAAGTGGTTGTGCAAGTTTGGAAACCGCAGAAGCTTCTCAGGTACCGCCAAGCATGAAAAGTTTTTGTCACGGCCCTGCGCTGCGTATTGACATTGAGCATAAGTAACAACGCATGATAAACGAGCGGAGCCGTTCGTCAGCTAGCATGGCAGTCTTCATGGTTCAAAATCATCCATACCAGATATCAAGCATGGCAAACAATTTCACTCTTCCGGACCCGGACATATAATTCGCGTTCGATACGCGCAAACCGAGAATCTTGCCGCGAGCTATTGTCGCTGCGAAGTCATCTTGGTCCACCACGTCCACTAGCCTTCGGAGTCCTCCACCTTCCGCATTACTACTTGTGTTCGTGATGCACGCCACAGCGTCATACAGGGTGCGGGTACCATCCGGGCAGCCATAGATCGAGATGAGCCGTTGAGTATAAGCTTCGGGCGCAACGAGGTTCCGCGCCACTGTTCGAGATGGTCCCCCGTGCAAAATTAGATCTAGTTGTTCCACCATAGCCAGCCGAAATTTCTGCACATTGCTGAGAGGTATATCATATTTAGAGTATCTTTCATAACGAGAGAAGTTAAGGCTCTTGGTTTGGTCCATTATCGGCTTGCACCATGCTGCGTGCGCCTCCTCCTCGAGGCACTGTTTGAGTAAAGCCTCGAGCCCGGAGTCTCCGGAAGACGCGGGGGAACTGCCGTGACCTTGGTATCCGAACACCCAGCTTTTGTTGCTCAGAGGATAAGGCAATGGCTTCTGCTCCTCGGCGGCGGGCGGGGCCGTCGGAACATCAGCAAGTTCCGGCACAGAAGTTGTAACTGCGGGGCGCTCCTGCTCAGCTGCTGGTTCTTCCGGCGCAGGAACTACAATCGGTGGCGGGACGGCGACACCACGACCCTGCTGCTCCGCCGTAGCCACTCGTTCCTGAGCCAGAGTGGGCTCTGCCGGCGGTGCCGGGTCCGCCACGGTTGCGACGCCTTCAGCCACGGGTCGTGTCAGTTCCGCCACGGTTTCGACGCCTTCAGCCACCAGCCCGGCTGGGGCCGTTGCAGCCGGCTGCGAATTCGCTGCTGCGGGGTGGAAGACCTGCTCTTTTTGCTCGGCCCCGGCGTGGTCTTCCTGATGTACAGGAGCCTCGCTCGGCGTAGGTGGTGGTAGCTCGGCAGAAGCCGTTGCTTGGTAGGCCGCCTCGTTGTTCCGCTGCAGGTGGTCCGGGAGCGGACTCCTCGGGTCGACTTGATCTTGTTCTGCTTCTGGTCCGGCACGACCAACACCTGGCTCCACCGGCGCCGGTTCAGTGCCTTCCGGGTGGCCGGCGTCGCGACCCCCAGTCGAAGAGGCATCTGAATCGTTGGAGTCGGAATTATCGGAGGACTCGGAATCGCCTGCTGGTGCCAACTCTTCATCGCGGTAGGTCATCTCGCCTGTTCTTTCTTGTTGCCCTGGTACAGCTACTGGTGCTCCTAGATCGGCGGGCGTTTCTTGTAGTTTTACCCCTTTTGCAACATCATCTGCTGCCGCTGGTTGCGCAACATGTGGGGCGACATCTTCAACCTCCGGTGTGGTAGCTGCAGTAGGTTCGCCATGAAGCTCCTGACGCAGCAAATTGTGGAACTGTTCATGATTTTGTTCCTTCGTCGCGTCCAGTAGCACATAGCGGTATTCGTGCGGCCCGCGCTTCCTCCGCAATGGCTTCCACTGGGCCAACTCCTCCCCTTCCGGCAGAGGAGCCCCAGCCACGTTATAAAACCCGTGGAGCTCAGCGCGCACGAGATCGAGCCGCAGGGCGCCCGCGCGAGGTTGTTCATCAATGCTGCTTGTCGCCGGGAAAATCTCTGGTCGAACATTTTTCGGCATGGTGTGCTCAGTGCGCGAAGACCTGGCCGCGTCCATCTCGCGAAGCTGTTCGGTTGTAAATTTGTAGAGCCCGAGATTATGCATTGCAAATATGTTGCCAGCAGCCTGGATGCGGAGGGATGCAACTTGTGATGCGTTTTGAGGTTCACACATACAGACACACACAAAGACAAGCATCGGTCTTGCACGACTACCAGAAACTTCTGCTTACGTTTTTTACTCCAGGCGGACGCTTGTTCCTTTGCAGCTGCACATGCAGAAACTGCCAAGCGGACGCTTCCTTTGCAGGATAGGCATCGCGAAGACGAAGACCTAGCAGAGTATGTGATGCGAAAGAATTATTCCGACGTTGAGGTATGAAAGATCTGCATGACAAACTCCCGCAGTCTTCCAGACCCTCACATATTTGCATTTCATAGACATCGACGCCCAGGACGAGTGCTGCCGCGGTCCAAACCTCCGCAGTATCCAAAAACCCGCCAGATACAGGCGGCTGGTTCCCGTTAAGATGATGTTCGGCAGCAGAAAAATGCAGGATTTCTTCGGCGGTCAGGTCACTGATGGAGCAATAGCACAGGTATTTGAGCTGAGGCTCACTAAACCCGCTCGCCATAGGCTCCGAGGCGACATCTTTCTTGCACCAGGGAAGGTTTTCCCGTTGGCCTCGCGCCATGGTCCGACTGAACTCAGGATTAGTTAAGATGTGCTGCCCGGTCGCGCCATATTTGTCCCGGGCACGCATTTCGACTTCGAAATAGAGGCTGCGTGCGTCTGCGCGGCGCACCAGTTTGCGTCCCGGGTGCTCGGGGTCTGCCGCTGGCATTCCATTTCCCGCACGCAGCACCTCCGCCAACTTTTCCACCATTTTGCTTCGGAAATACCGCACGTCGGTGAGGAGCCGCTCGGCCTCCTGCCGCGAGCTCCTGTGTTCGAGGAACGGCCGGCACCAGCGCCCGTGGGCCGCTTCGTTGAGGCACTGGTACATCAGCATGCGCAGCGCACTGTCTGCGCCGGACAACCGACCAGGGTGCTGGGGAAAGAAATACCGGATATTCTGCACCGCCCAGGGGTAGACAACTGGAAGAGGCGTGGTCGCAGAAGCGGCAGCTCCAGCTCCAGCTGCTGCACTCGTCGTAGCACCGCCTTCTTGCCTTGATGTGCTTGGGTCCGATGATGCAGCACCATTCTGGCTGTCATCTCCTGCAGCTGCGTGCCCTCCTGCAGCCGGTGGCCTCGCATTGTCCGCAGACCCAGTCTTAGCCCTCTCCTGGAGGATTATATTTTCAACGTAACGTTGAAAATGCCATGGCAATTCGTTTTGCTGGTTTTGGTTTTGCTGCCGATGTCCTACTGCTACTTCCTCTTGGCGTTGTTCGTGGTCCTCCGCCCAACGCTTTTTCCTGTTCGATAGTGAGTTTTGTTCTTTTGCTTGAGGTAAAGCCAGACCTTTGTAGTCGCAGTGGGTCACAAGGCGGTCCTCGTTGTCGCCGTCGGAAGTGGTTGCCGCGCGGAGTTGTCCTGAGGCAGTGTCGCGCAAGAAAAGTTTGTAGCCAACGTCCAGCAGGATATTAGATTTCTTTGTGTTCGGTACTGCAGCTGTAGAGCTTGGTGTTCCACCAACATCAACAACCGCTCGGCTGACCGGGGCCGAAGAAGAAGAAGAAGAAGAAGAAGACGTGGCGGCACGAGGACCGGAAGAACTTAAGCTGGCTTCTTCCTGAGCCTCTTCCGGCATGGGCGCAGGCAGGTAAATGAGCTCCGGGATTATAGAAGTTGCATCTTCGATGATTTGCTGGTCGGGGGCCGAAGGACCTGCTGATAGTGCCTCTGCGGAAATCTGTGGCTCGGAAGTGGCTACTTGCTCTTCGGGACGAGCAGCGCTGGCAGCTACGAGCCGCTGAACAGAGCTGACCCAGTCACCTGTGACCTGGTAGAGGTTCACGTCCACTCCCAACACCAAGGCCGCCGCAACCCACAACTCGGTGGGCTCCAAGAATCCCCCGGGCAGGGTAGCGCCGTACTCCGCCACCTCTCTCTTGCGCCAAGCTATGCCTCCGCTGCCATTTTCTGGCGACGCCATCACCTGGTCCGACACAGAAAGGTAACACAAGTAGTCGCGCGCCGCTTGATCGAGCGCGGGTCCGGGGAGGCACCAGGAAATGTTTTGCGCCACTCCTCTGTCGATTGTCGCACGGTAGGCTCTCTGATCCCGCAAAAGAGCTCCACGAGGCAGCGAACCTGTTCGTCCGGCAGGGCCCGCCTCCACCGCATTGATAGTGTCATCGTCCCCTGCGGGGTCGTTTGTTCCTGCAGTCGTCCCGTTATCTTGTTCCTCGCCAAGATCATTGGCACGGCCAAAAAACGGATTGACGCGCCTGTGCACTGCCGTGTACATGCTGATGGGGCCCTCGTTCAGTATTTCGCCGTTCACTAGCAGGCCCGTGGCTTTCAGCCTTCTGCTCGTCCTCGCCAGTGCAGGTGCGGCGGTGGAGTTATCCTCGTCGTCCGGACCGGCCAGCAAAATCATCGCCACGGCATATGCCAGTCGTTTGCGAAACTCGCTGACGTCTGTGAAAGTATGAGCTAGATTTGCGCCTGGCAGCTGCCCAATCCTCTGCCTCGAGAATCCTTCACACCACTCCTTGTGCGCACCTTCGAAGCACTGCTGCGCCAACGCGATCAGAGCATTGTCTGCAGAGCCGAGCGGGGCGCTGCTCTGCAGGTAAGGAGAGCTACCAACTTGCACAGGTTGATGTGCCGGGGGCGCAAGACCGCTGCCACCCGCCCCGGCTGCTGCACTAGGGACACTTGCTGTGCCAGTGGACCCTGTTGTGCCGCTGGTGCCTCCAGCAGCTCCGGGCGGGACAACCTCACTGCTGCTTTGGCTAGCGATAAGATTCATCGCTCCTTGCCCAGTCGAACCCGGCACCATGCTCGCTCCGGTGCTAGTACCAGAAGAGGCTGCAACAGCTGCGCCAGCTCCCTGGCTGCTACCGCTGCTGGTCTGGTGTGGGGCGGCAGGGATGCGGTTTCCTTGCGCGTCCGTGCGAACCATCGCATTGAAACTGCCCACGCAGTCCGCAAAGTGCGGCGAGACGCGAGAGCTCAAGTCACCCAAATTATGCATCGCAAATATCTTCATGTCAGGGTCTAGGTTGATTTGTGATGCAAGATTTCGAAGAGAAGGGAGGTCTGTGATGCATGCAGAAGCATGGCGAGATTTTCTGTCGAGCAGGGACGGGCAGCCACTTTTTGCTCCTGCATGTGTGTTACGAGTACGTAGAATGAATGCGTACAAAGGCAATAGAAACTTCTCAAGAACTACATGGCTAATATGCTCTACTCATGCCGTACACGAAACCACTTCGATAGGTGGTTTCGTTTCAGCAACACAAATTTTTCGCATTTCGTCCCCAGACCATGACCACCCACGCACATTTGCATTTCCATTTGATAGATATGGTCCTTCAACATATCTATTTGCAGGCGCAGTCGGTTCTCCGGGTCCGGCGCGTCGTCCTCCGGAATTGGAAGACTATGCTGATCGAAAACCTCAATCAAATATCTCCGGAGGCGGTGCCACTCGTTGACCCCCACCAGGCAAATCGTCGAGCGGATCCGGTTGAAAACGTGAGCTTCCCGCGAATACCTAATCAAATTGTCGCCCGTCTGGCACCGCGTTTCTACCTCGCGTTCGCCCGGAGCAGCGTGCCGGTCTTCCACGCAGGCCGTATAATTGTAGTCCATTTGCAGCTCCGTTTCCACAATCGACTGGGGTGAGGTGTCAGCGTTCACGTCGGCGAACCCATCAATGTCCATCAGATTTTGCAAGTCCGGCTCGTTGCAATCCCCCGACCACTTGCCATTGTGCGCATGTGACCTATGGAGGCGTCGTTGTGGAAATTCGCGAGGTCTGAATGCAAAACTGCATAGCATACAACACGTAGAGTGTCTGCGTTGCCCCTTGGAGGCCGCAACCGAGGGTGATTGTTCATCTCCCGTCCAAACTCATGCGCAAGGACGAGAAGGACGGTGCTAAATAGCATGACAGATTGACTTTTATTGCCCGCGCCTGGAAAGTCTCTCGCTGTCTGTTTGGATATTGCCTGGTTTATGGTAAGTATTGGTCATTCTAATTGATTTTTACGCATTACAAATGCTACTTTCAGCTCTGTCGATTTCCAAGGTGACGCCTCCATACGAGCACCGTCTTCCGTAGTCTGGATCGAGGGGCGACCACCGGGTCGTGTCCGGCGCGGCCTGTCCCTTCGGCATCGGGCGATATTCTGAGGAAAAATCCCCCCTCCCCATATCGAAAAGGTATGTTTCCGAAAATTTGCGTTGCTGATTTGAGCCTTAGTTCCGCATGATATCCGTAGGCCAACGTCGGGGGTCCCTCACCCCCAACACGCCGAACTTCCTCCTTCCACACGCAGCGTCGGAGGGGTCGCACGTAGCCCTGGAGGTGATAAACGAGGGTGGCGCCTGTATATGCAGTAAAATACTGCACAGGAAATGAGGAAGTCAGAAAGGAACACAAATGTTCTGGGATGACTG